GCCACGATCCACATTGAGGATTCGCTCTCCGTGCTGCAGCTTCGTCTGGCGCTCGTGCTGAAGCAGTAGGGCATCCAGTGGGCCGAGTAGGACGCCGCATCAGGATGGAAGACGCGAACGTCAAAGAAAGCATCCTGTGCTCGGGTCCAGAAGCCACCGGCACAGTATTAGTATTTATTATATAATAGTAGTATTGCTTTGTAATTAGTACTACATGTACATGTATTACAGCTGTCTGATGAAGTGTTTTGACACGAAACTCGGAGTAACAGCGGAATGAGACTTGTTTGATTCATTGGTGTGTAATATTTGTATTACATGTACATTATTTTTGCATGTTTGGTGTTTTTTTGTGTGAAATAGAGCAGGAACTGAGGAAGTGCCTGCCATCATAACCTAACTCATAAGGTTCGTATCGTATGCAACAAAAAGTTACATGTGTGCTGGTTCTGCCTTTTTTTCACTGCTCAGTTTATTACCGGTACGCGTATCTTGTTGTTTACAAAATGATTGTGGTTTCTGAGCACTAGCGCATAGCAGACTCAGCGAGCGATCGGCCGGAGATCGCTAGATCGGGGATCGGGAACAAACGACTCGTACGATCGTAGTTACTTCGGGATTCTGGGCGTGGACCATGCATGGTCACCTCTGTCGTGAGGGTGGTGGCTGAAGCGGCTATCCGGTCCTGAGGCAGTTGTGTTCGGTGTCCACGGCCGGTTTTTGACATGACTGTACTAAGTACATCGTAGTTGTACATTTGGAAGTACAATTGTTATTATTGTTGAATTCGAGAAAGGACGACTGACGACACAAGTTATCCAGACATTACAACGGGAACAGGTAGGTTGGTGGAACATTAGACTGTATTAAAAAATTACTAAGTTTGCAGCCATTTTATGACATTAGACTGTGGGTGCGTTTGGTTGGTACAATCTAGAACAGGATCGAACAGCTGGTGCACATGTATGGAGCAGCCTCATGCCAACCGAACGGTACTCCAAAAACAGAGCATATTTTTGTGAAAAATATGCCAAACTTGGTGCAGGCTTCAAAATGTGTATGGATCACCATGGTCACTGTGTACGGTACGACGAGTCTAACCCCAAAGCGTATGCACGTGATCATTTGGGACCAAAATCGATGTTCCCGCCAGGTTTCACTGTGAAAAAGTGAAACTCAGTGCTCGGTCTGCTCCGGCCTCGAGGCCGAAGCAAGCAGAACATGTTCTGGCCGACCCAGAACAAGTGCAGTCCCAAAAAAACGCGCTGTTCTGGTGAATCCTGTTCTAGTTCGTACCAACCAAACAGCCATTTTATGACAATTAGACTGTATTTACAGCCATTTCATGACAATAGACACCCTTAGCAAACAACGGTAACGCTATTTTTTACGGTACTCGTACCTTGATCACCCAAATAGCGTTGAAGCTGCAGCGTATAAACGTTATGGGGGCTGATTTATCGTTGTGACCAACGGTACGTGTTTTGGCCAAATATTGCATAGTCCGTACGCATTTCACCTTGTATAGCGTATATGGTGACAAAAATGGTTGTACCGCGCGAAATCAAAGCTATTCTCGTGGCAACAGCGTACTAAAAATAGCGTTCATCTTGCTAATTAGTGCTGGGGCCAAGTCCGAAAAAGTCGCTTTATTGAGGAGTTGCATTTGACACCTCGTCCAGGAAAGATTTGACTTCAAATTCGGAGAGGCGGACCAACTATAGGAATTTTGGAGAAAACTAGAAGTTCCCAATGTTGTCCGTTTGGAAGTTATGAGCTATTTCCAAATTGCTTAGGTTACTATGGTAACCTGTGTGCAATTAGCCGTTTCTGAGGCAAAGCCGATACAATTTTGGAGAAAAAAGTTACCTTGTTGGAAGGCGAGCTCTTTCCAAGACTGTTATTGAAAACCAGAAGTTTATAGGACTGTCGGCTTCCTTGTCACAGGATTTTCTCGAATTTCTACGGTTACCGTGGTAACGTGTATGCAATTAGCCACTTCTAAGCCAAAATCAGTGCATTTTCTCCCCTGTAGGCAGGTGGAAAGCAGAGAATAGTTATAAAAATGTGGCTCAGAGTCAGAGGTCTATTGGGCTGTTGCAAGCCTGGTTTGTAGAGACTGGACCCCTCTCTCCTGATTTAGTGGCGGTATCCACACAAAAGGATCAAGAGGATTTAGGCAGGACTGACATCCAAGAACGAGCAAGGAAACACAACTGATAGCAAAAACAAAAACAAGAAGACTCAAACCGTTTGAGTCTTCTTGTTTTTGAATTGAATTCCCTAGCATATAGGGCAATCCCCTTAGGCCTGTGGGGATTGCCCTATTCAAAATTTAAATAAGGCCAAACTAAAGAAGGTGTGTGGTTCGACTCACCCGACCGACCGTACAATTTCAGCCCGACCGTAACTTTTTTTCGGCGGGCTGTCGTGTGACTGACGTACGTGGACTGAACACGTCCACGTCTACGTGCTGTGCGGCGTGAGTCTGCGGACGCAGGCGGCTCCTTTTGGACTTGACTTGTAGTTGTACTGCAGTGCAGTGCAGTGAGTGGTACGACTGCTGCCTTGTGCTGGTAGTAGAGTCTACTCGATACGCGTATACAGTGTATTTACATGTACTAAAAAATATATTTAAAAAAACAAAAATCCGCCCGCCCGCCCGTAAAAAAAATGTCCATGTTAGTCGAACCACACACCTTCTTTAGTTTGGCCTAATAATAATAATATTAGAACTGGGGCTAGCCCCCATTATACTTTATAGCTCAAATGGTCGCAAGACCAGGGCTATGCCAACCGTGGAGGTTGTAAGGTCATAAGGAGCACTGTTTTCGAACACAGACTCAGTGCATCCTCTGCCTACACGTAGCTTGTAACATGCTGGCAACCAAACTACATTGTATGTTTTGTCATGTACATGTACATGACTACACGTATTTTTCACATCCAAAGAATCATCTTGCCCGTAAAAGAGGCCAGTACTGTAAGGTGTACATGTACATTGTACAATGTACTGAACTGAAGTGCATGTCCAGGACACTGTTGTGGTATTCATTATTGTTATTGTTGTTGTTACTGGTGTGCCATTTAAAATTACATGTATACATGTACTTCATGCAGATGTATAGTCGTTCAACCAAGCACACCAAGTTCTCTTCTCATATCACACGGAGATGCCAGGACTTAGAAGACGAGAGAGATCGGAGTATGCAAACTGCTCCATGGCAGGGCAGAAACCTCACTATTGTCACGAAGAAGTCCACAAACTGCCGATCAACAATTTTCTCCAGTACGTTGCCAATTGGCAAGAGATATGGCTTGTAGGAGTTGAGAGTAGTCAGTATTATTATGGCCATAACTGTCTCCACATTTACATGATTGTATACAGCCTAGCAGGTGAAACCATCCAGGGTGTTCGATGTACATGGAATAATCGGTGGCATCAGGTACTGTACTGTACTTGCATCACTTGTACTTGTAGCCGAGTTGGATGGTGAACAACTGCTGCACACGTACATGTACAATGTATCTGTGAGTGCTGGAAATGATGCCACATGTACCGGTACAGGTACTAGCAAGAGTTATGACCCCCCGGTTATACACTCTTGGTACTAGGTGTAGAATTCATAGTGGCTCGGCTAGATAGCAGGAGAGGTTACTGCCCCATGGGCCATGGGGTCAGTCCGGGACTGTTTTGAAACTGTTGCTTGATCAGAGGGATGTGACTAGACCTTCCTGTGTAAATGCTTTGCTGTGAGTTGCTGAAGGATGACACATGAGCACGGAATATGTGGCGGAGTTTGTTCGGCATGTTGCGGTTAGGGCAGTTGTTTGTCTATTAGCCATCTCGTTGATCAAAATTGTCCTTCCAGGTCTTGGCGTAGGCCCCCGCCCCGGTCTACATGTACATGTACATGTACATGACTGTATTTCATGGGCAATGTGCTTCCTAAACATGTACAGTGTACATGTACATGTCGATTGGACAGCCTGCATGACATTGTTCCATAAAAAGAAAATGTGAATTGGGTGGAAAGTACCAGTAGTGGATCATGGTGACCAATCCTGTCAACATAGCACACCGCTGTCTGGGTACTACATGACGTACATGTACATGTACATTGTATTATGTGAAGGAAGGGAGGAAACAAGTGCCAGGTCAATGCAATCCCGGTAGTGTTAGAGGGGAGAGGAGCCCAGTCTCTACAAACCAGGCTTGCAACAGCCCAATAGACCTCTGAGCCACAATATTATAACTATTCTCTGCTTTCCACCTGCCTACAGGGGAGAAAATGCACTGATTTTGGCTTAGAAGTGGCTAATTGCATACACGTTACCACGGTAACCGTAGAAATTCGAGAAATTCCTGTGACAAGGAAGCCGACAGTCCTATAAACTTCTGGTTTTCAATAACAGTCTTGGAAAGAGCTCGCCTTCCAACAAGGTAACTTTTTTCTCCAAAATTGTACCGGCTTTGCCTCAGGAACGGCTTATTGCACACAAGTTACCATAGTAACCTAAGCAATTTGGAAATAGCTCATAACTTCCAAACGGACAACATTGGGAACTTTTAGTTTTCTCCAAAATTCCTATAGTTGGTCCGCCTCTCCGAATTTGAAGTCAAATCTTTCCTGGACGAGGTGTCAAATGACACTGTCAGATTTCTGGACCTGGCTCCAGGACTAAATGGTCGAAACCGAATCACGGTATTTTCCCCCTTACGATAATAGGCGACAAGCCTCTGGGTCATCCTAATAAAGATATTATTATTATTATACCGTTACAACATAACGTTTTTTGCTAAGGGTGTCTAATGACTGTATTTACAGTCACACTATTATTAAAAAATTAAAAAAACCAAAAAACATGCATGGCCGGTCATGCATGTTTTTTGTTATGGGTCATGCATGGTGCACTGTACATCAGGGAGTCGTAAAATACCGGTATTTTACGACTCCCTGCTGTACATGTATGGGTCATGCATGGCGCACTGGAAATCAGACAAGTCAAAAAAAGAAGTATTGTGTTGATGTTCATTCAGATGGAAGGAAGCTTTTGTAGTTAGGATTTGTCTTCTACTTACACTTCAGTCAGCCTTGCAGCTCAGTTCTCTGGCTTTCAAGATAAATGTAGCTATGGCAGATTGGTATTTTTCTCGTGTGGATATCGAAGATGGAAGCCCATCTCGCGCTCATGGACTTTCCAAAGAAGCTGAGCTGAAGCTGCGTCGTGAGGGAGCCCGTCTGATCATGGAAGCTGGTCACTCACTTCAGCTGTATCCTTTACATTAATAAATGAATAATATAGTATGCCCGCTGCTCGTGCATCTGGAGTTCTCTGTGCTTGTTGACCGATACTTCATTGTGCGTATGCAGACCTTTGCTTTTTTGGAATCTGGGCAAATATGCATTTACATGTTGTACCTGTAAAGTGTCCAGCTTTGAACGTAAATTTGTTGAAAAACAATAATCCTATCAAGTATGCACTATGCGCTCATGTAGTACATTGTACAGTGGTGCATGCTTTCTGCTGTTGTATGGCAAACTTCATTCAAGTTTCCTAATCCTAAGTGCCTACTGGCATACAACTGTACAGTCATGCATTTCGAGTAGCTACGCAAGACCTACACCACACTTGTCCATGCTATACTTGTGTGTGTGTGTGTGAGCATGGATGTGTTGCAGTGCTCGATAAGGAGCATCTCTCTGTCCATGGGTATTGTAATTCACGTGTGAAGTTGAACTTAGTTCGTTCTCCTTGACTCTGGAGCAGGTCAATAGAAACAATCGCCACCGGAGTTGTGTTGTATCATCGCTTCTACATGTTCTGTTCCTTTACCGCGTTTCCACATAGGGTAAGTGAATGGTTTTCCTTTCACGTCACGTTCTTGGGAACTGTTCCTTCTGTCTTCATCCAGGTATGTTCAGGCCGTACTATGCTGGGGATGTGCATGCATGGTGTGCTGAGGATAGACATGGACGTTGTACTGTGGATGTACATAGTACGGTGTACTGGGAATGTACGTACATGACGTGCTGTGGATGTACGAGTCGTACATGCATGCCGTGCTGAGGATGTCTTGATGACACTGCTGCTTCAATGCCGTATTGTGTGTTCTTCTATCACAGGTTGTAGCGGCGGCGTGTTTGTTCTTGTCAGGCAAGATTGAGGAAACACCAAAGAAGTGCCGTGACATTTTGCGAACGTTGCACTCCCTTATTCCAGAGGCCGATTTCCAGTCCGGATTTGGCTCAGATCCCAAGGTGAGTGGAGTTTTGCTTGATGACACCACCCAAGACTGGGGAAGAGGTAATTTGTGGCCTGACTCTGCTGTGAGCTACTATAACGGCAAAACACGTGTACAGTAAAACCTGTAACTACAGACCACCGTGACTAGCGACCAGCCTGGTACTACCGACCACTTGGCCAGGCACGGACGGTCTCACATTCAAAATGCACTGTGACTAGCGACTACTTGCTGAATGCGACCAGCGACCGCCTTTTCTTGTCCCAAAGACGATTTTTGACCCGTAACTAGCGACCGCGATGTACTTCCTCCGCGTCATCGAAATTGTCGCAGTTTGACTTTTGGTGTAAAACGCGGTATTTACTCACCAGCACTCGTACCAGAGGCAAGGAATCGGACATAGGCGATAGTCATCAGTATAGGGTGACGGCAAAGTTCTATTTTCTGTTATTGGAAGCTGGAATTTTTGAACTAGACGCAATTTTTTCGCTGATGTCGCTGCGCTGGTAATTTCGACTCGCTGAGATCAGTCAGGCGTTGCAGACTGCACATTTCTCGTGCTTATGGCCATTCACTCAAGCCCCATCACTGTTTTACCTTAGCTGGGGTGAGAATGACTTCGTGGAACAAGTGGCAGCGCTTGGAGAAACATCGAGGGGTCGGCAAACTAAATGCCTGCAACAGCGATAAAATTTGTCGCTCTGGCTGAGACACTCAGTACTACTAGTACATGATTGTACCTGCAAGAGCCGTGTAGACTCTACACGTAGTGCTAGTGATGCACGCGCAGGTGCCGTACCATGGTATACCAGTGATGCTGAAAAAGAGGGCGCGCTGGACGTGATACTACACTTACCTGCATGAGCTGTGGGCATGCCACGGCTAAACAAGTTCATTTCAAGATCGAGGTGATTCCGAGGTGATTCCGCCGACGGTATCAACCGACCTCGCAACGATCGTGTATTCTTACTAGGCTTCGTTGGTGGTGAAGTAGAAATCATCCAGAGCTAGCAGACGACAATCATAGCAGCTCTCGTCCTGTGGAGAAAGTCAAAGCGTTTGAGATGAGGCGCGACCAACTTTCAACCTTCCTTGAAATATTTCGGAACGATATTTTTGCGTCCATTGACATCAGCGAGGACGAGGACTTCATCTCTGCATGAAAACTCTCAGTCCAATTGTCCTGGAACGTTACTCTAGTCTTCAGACTATCATACTGTGTAATAAGTTTTGAATGGCTTAGTTTATGGAGTTGTCAGTAACAAGTCACTAGTCAAACTGCGACAATTTCGATGACGCGGAGGAAGTAGGAAATCAAATGTTGCTCGAAGCTCCTTCTTGAAATTTTGCTGATTTTCCATGGTCCTGAAAGGAATCTTTCGGTACTACAGCTGAAGAAATGAACGCAGGCCATTATGACTGTGGAGTCGGTGTGGACTGCACTACACCTGTCAGAATTTCGAGCGCTGTCAAGAATTAACATGATAGGAAACATCTTTAAGAGCAGAGCGCATCGAAAGCGCTCTCTGCTCGATGTTACTACTCGGAGGAGAAACGAAGACTGAGCGGCTCTGTCACCCCAGTCATACAAATGAATCGACGATGGCGTCAAGGAATCCAGAAACAAAGCAGCACCGCAATGTGCTGATGCTGAAGGATCGCGTTCGAACAATCAAGAAGTCACAACAAGGATAGTCGGTACGATCGATCGGATGAACAAATTTGAAGCCCAGCGCAAAACGAAACTTTCACAGGGAACGTTTGACTCGTGGCTTCAGAAGTAGCAGCTGAATTTGATGTCTGCAAAAAATTTAATCTTCTCTCTCTTTTTTGTCTCTCTCCATCTCTCCGTCTTTCTCTCGAAGTGTTGTTTGACCTGAAATAAGAATTGCATTGCGCAAGTCCTAGGGAATTGTATTGGCTGCATTTTGATATGCATATCATATACTGGGATCCATATATGGTCGCACGGTGCAAACCTCTAACTAAAGACCACCTGCTACTAAAGACCGCTTTTGCTGGCACCAAGGGGTGGTCGGTAGTCACAGGTTTTACTGTATGAAGAATCTAGCGTTTGGTACTGGCTGTGCGTGCGCATGTGTGTGTGCGCTTGTGGGTGTGCGCAGGAAACCCTGCTGGTCCACGAGCGCATCCTGCTGCAGACGGTCAAGTTTGATTTGCAGATCTCCAACCCTTACTCATCACTGATGAAGTTTGCCAAGGCGCTCATCGGTATGTGTGTGTGTAGCTACTCCCTAGCAATTGTTTTGGAAACACATCTTCTCTGACTACTGTATTTTCTGGAGTATAAGCCACAATTTAAACTCTTAATTCACAAGAAAAAGAAGTCGATGCGGCTTACACTACGATGGTCAAATGAACTGTGAAATACAGTCTAGATGTCTGTATTTTGTGACAAAAAAATCTGGGCGTGGCTTATACTTCGGAAAATACAGTACTGTAAGGGCCCGGTCACACATGCACTCGAGAGTAGCGTATACGCTGAAGCGAGGTCGCAGGAGCGAAAAATGGCATGGCAACGGCGAAAAGCGGAACTTCCGCTTCAGCGGAAACTCCAATCCGCTTCCTCCAAAATTTTCGAAGCGAGATTGTCGCTTCTGCGGATTCGCTTCAGCGGAAAACACCACGGTCTGCTGTATATGGACTTACTACGAGAAATTTGTATGCGTATGATGTCCATGCAACAAAAATGCGTGCAAGATAGTCATTGACCTCGTCAATTCTCCGTACCGTATGCACCACAGTCCACTTTACTCTCATTTTCCGCCAAAGTAGGAGTTTGCCTTGTTTGTATGTGTGACCATACACACGTGGTTTCGCTGGAGCGACACCAGGCTCGCTGCCGCCGAACCTCGTCGCCGAAGCGAATCCCAGTGCATGTGTGACTAAACTGCCTAATGTTTGCTAATTTTGCAAGAAGAGTATTACGCAAATATTAACCATCGTGAAATTAAACTTCGACAGTGGGTGTATATGTGTGGTCATAGTGCTCCGCGAACATTTGCCATCAGAAACTCACTGGTTCTGAGAGATCGCAAAAAAATTTAGTGACGCAAACATTGTGCGGTTTACAGTATGTCCTGTCACCTTTTCTATTTGAGATGTGTGCACATCTTGCTTGTCGAAGTCACGAAGATTTGAACTTGCAAAACGAGAGAGCTTGGAAGCTCAGGGCCCTACGCTATGCTTTTTTGCCTTGATGACCTAGAGAAAAAAGCATAGGGATGTTATAAATTCTTATAAGTTTCTACTTTTTGTTTGAGACATAACCTGGGATTCGAACCCGCACTTTCGCCCTGCATGCATCCCCCGATACCAAGAGTTCATAACCCCCAAGAGTGTGCAACGGGCATAGACTCAGCGCTGGCAAAATTCCTACATTACGTCATGCGCAGCTTGTCATCCGAGGTAAATTTGGGTTCTTTGCGATTTCTGGAAACTATACCCTGAACCGCTCCTAACTCAAGGCTGTAGCCTCGACCTTTCGAAGCTTTTTTTGAAGACATTTCGGACGTACAAGTCGTAGATCTACTTTCTCAAAAACAAACTCTTTCTCAGCCAAGCATCCATGGACATCGCGACAGGAAGAAGTGAGGACGCTGTTAAAAATATTGCATTGCCGTCGAGGACAATCATTCTGATAGCTGTGTAACTCAGCCGAAAAATGCTCCTTCGACGTATTCTCTCAAGTTCCTCAACCATTTGAAATCATCTTCGAGGAAAGCACCGGAAATATGCCGATGGCCGGGGGAAGAAATTGTTCTTGAAGAAACTGACTGCATGCACTGGTGAAAGAAGAAGGCGATGAAGAGTCACCATTGCATCGAAAAAATAAATAGTTTTGTCTTTAAGATCGTGTGCTTTGTTTCACTTTTGCTTCTTGAGGCTCAGACTCAGACTAGAATCGATCGCAGTTTAGGCAGTTTACCCTGGGGAAGCATCCTGGTTTGACTGTAAATTTTAGAAGAATTCATCGGCGTGACTCATCGCACTGCACCAAAAATGACGCAATGAAGGAATTCCGCCGAGCGGGCTTCCATACAGGGACTGATCAGGAGTTGCACACTCTTGGGGGTTATGAACTCTTGCCGATACACTTCGCATACATACTAATTCTTCCAAGTTGCTTCACGTTATGATCTTGTATTTGAAAGCCCTATTTGAATATGCATTGTGGCCAGCCGTCTTTGAATGTACGGTACGGTACGGGATATGTACGGTCGAGGGTAATACAACACCGTCTACCGCCTTGATGACGGCAAAAAAAGAAAAGGGATGTTATAAATTTTTCAATTCTCCTATTTTTTTAACCCTTTGCCGGTCTAACTCAATGTATGTGAGGGGTGGTCACGCAAATACATGTACACACAACCAGCAATAACTCAAGAACCATGTGATGTAGGTATGGGTAAACCATATATTTTCAAAATCTGTGTGCCTGAACGCGTCCAGAAAATTCAAATATGACTAGGTCCAGGCAAGGATAGGGCCCATGGTAGCCCTTCAAGTTGAGAGAAAATACAATTGCGAATGAAATACACGAATATCACAGCACGACGGGCATACCAAGTTCGTGATGGAGCTGAAGTCGTACGATAAACAATCACGTAAGGGCTACGTCTTTAGAAGAAATGTAGGCTCTCTACAATACCGCTATTGAACACCAACACCTCGCTCGCCATCGGCGATACGCCAGCAGCAGCAATTCCCATTGCACGGTATCGCAGTTTCGGTTTGTTCATCTCAGCGCTGCTCGCGTCAGATTCACTCTCGCTCAGATGAGTACTCAGGCGCGAGCTTACGCATGCCGTGATTCTCACGGCCAGGCGAATCAGCTGATCGCACCTGACGAGTCCTTGTGACAGTCGCTGTCGCCGTGTCGGCAGCAAGAAGGCTTCCTCTCTGTTTGGAGAATTTTGTTTCTTCATTCGTGGACGATATACTTTTGAACTAGCAGGACTCAACGGAGCTCTTTTTCTCAACACACTACACTGCAAAACCTCCCGGGACATCCAGCCTGGACTGGTGATGTTACTGCTCTCAGAGCGCTTGTCAAACACGGCCCCAATAGATGCACTCGCATTCTTGAAATGCGCGCATGGCGGATGGTCGTCTTTTCCAATTTCAACAAACTTCAGTCGATCGATACGGCAAAAATTTGTATGGTAAGCATGGTTGTTTTGCACATCGTCAGAAAGCCTTGGACCTCAGCTACGCGTAGAGCGCCATTTTAGCTGTCTCCTAGCAACAAGACCCCAAAAAAATGAGGGCCAAACGTACCGATACTATAGTATCGGTACGCTTATGGTAGACCGGTAAAGGGTTAAGGCATTACCTGGGATTAGAACCCGCACTGTCGCCCCACATGCATTCCCCCATACACTTCGCATTCATACTCATTCTTCCAAGTTGCTTCACGTTATGATCTTGCGTTTGAAAGCCCTATTTGAATATTGCGGCCAGCTGTATGTGGCCAACTGTGTTTGATGGTACGGTACGGGACAGATACGGGATAGCGCCAGGCGTGACACGAACACACAAACAAACAAACACCAAATTAAAGCTGTGTGGACCCTGGCTAGCGCCAGACGTTACTGAAGTAACGTCTTCTGCATAGCTACGGGAACGAGAGAGCTTGGAAGCTCAGGGCCCTACGCTATGCTTTTTTGCCTACCTCATCGTACATGTTATTAAACTGATGGAAATGTTTTTTCCGTTGATTCGCCACATCATTGTATTGCAAAAACGTTTCGATCAGTTTAAATATGAGTTAGGCAAAAGTATTTGTAGAATTTATTTCGGATTGTTATTTTTCTCTAATTTCATCCACTTTTGGTTTGCTCCTTCTTTTCTTTTTGATCTTCTTATACTGTACACCAACACATTTCGGCCGATGAGAAACTTTGGCCGATGAGAAACGAAAATTTTCGCCGTCATTAAACTTTGGCCGATTGGAGTTTTCAAAAAAAATCGATCCGTATTTTTTGCTCTCACATGCATCGCACAGTTTCCATGTGCGCAGCTGCAGTAGCATGACGCGAATCAGCACGATTAAGCCTCCTATGCTCATTTCTTGCATTTGTGTCGTCCGACGTTTCCTGGGACCGGCGCTGACTCTGCCAATCACGGGCAATCTGGAGTCGACGAGATGTCTGCCCTGACGCTTCCTGTGACCGGCGCTGACTCTGCCGATCACGGGCATTCTGGACTCGACGGAATGTCTGCCCTGACGTTTCCTTGGACCGGCGCTGACTCTGCCGATCACGTGCGATCTGGAGTCGACGAGATGTCTGTCCTGACGTTTCCTGTGACCGGCGCTGACTCTGCCGATCACGGGCGATCTGGACTCGACGGGATGTCTGTCCTGACGTTTCCTGTGACCGGCGCTGACTCTGCCGATCACGGGCGTTCTGGAGTCGACGGGATCTCTCTTCCGACGTTTCCTGTGACCGGCACTGAATCGCCCGTTCACGCTTATTTTGGAGACGACGGGATTTCTCTTCCAAAGTATATTTTGCTGACGCATCCTATCACCTATTCGGCGTCTATTCTAATTTTATTTCCTCCTCGTCTCCCTATTTCTTTCCAAATCTCCCTCTATATCAGGGAGTCGTATACATAATACGACGAATATTGGTACGGTACGGGACAGATACGGGAGCCAGCAAATATTGTGGACAGCTGTTATGTACAATCCTGTAGAGCCTTTGTAGTCACAGATACGGGAAAGATACGGGATAGCTCCAGGCGTGACACAAACACACAAACACCAAATTAAAGCTGTGTGGACCCTGGCTAGCGCCAGACGTTACTGAAGTAACGTCTTCTGCATAGCTACGGGAATAATTGCAATTTAATAGCTGCTGTAACATTTAGGAAAAAAGACCACTTCAGGCTTCACCGGCAACATTTTTGAACGTTTCCATGAGTATACTTCATGCCTTTTCGTCAGGTGGAATACAGGCGGAAAAAAAGAAGGAGCAATGAATCAAATACAGCAGAGAGTTGTTTGAACAGTACAAAGAAGAGAAGTCAAAACCAGCAGCAGTAAAAATGCGTGACTCCATACAACTAGAAAGAATGGAAAAAGGTGCAAGTGTAAAAAAAACCTAACAAGCGTGAAACATAGTGGGCCTACTACTGAACATAGCTAGCGAGTCGTTGACGACCTATCTAACAGCCTTAGTGTGAATTGGTAGTCTATTGCTGTCGCACTACTAGTACGTTTCAGTTTGACGCTTGTTAGTTGCCTTCACACTTGCACGTTGTTGCCATTCTTTCTATGTGTATGCGGTCATGCATTTCACCGTTGTTGTTTTTGACTACTCTTCCTTGCGCTGTTCTATCACCTCTTGGTTGTACTTAATTCATTGTTCTTGTTCCTTTGCTCTTTGTCTGTTTTCCACCCAATGAGAAGGCATGAAAGTGTATGCTTGTGGAAAACTTCTAAAAATGTTGATGGTGAAGAGTCTGAAAATGGCAACTTTTAGCCACTGTAGCTACACAATACAGTATGTCCTAGCCATTGAGCTGCTGGATGAGCTTTAGCCTGGGAACGTTTAGCTAGCCAACTGCTGTAATGTATTATGTTCCTGAGTGAGTGAGTGTTGACCTTTTTAAGCTGTTGGAAACTCTCAGCTAGTAGGGTGATGTCCACGTTATACTTATCTTTGTGTGCATATGTGTGTGTATGCATTGTTCAGGTGACCGGGTGAAGATTCAGAAGGTGGTACAGATGGCGTGGACTTTTGTGAATGACAGGTATGCGCGGGCTACCTTGGGTCACTTTCACGTTTTGTGTGAACTGCAGAAGCCCTGGGTTGTCACACCTCCGGAGCCTCTTTTGTACTGTGCATGAATGGCAACTATTTCAAGTACTACCTATGCAAACCCCACCTGGCCACCGACACATGTTGAGTTGCGAACAAGGAGGACTTGAGAAGTAGGTTGAGGCACAGGCTGTACTTACCATAGGGGCAACTACCGAATGGGGGAATACCCCTGGTCCTGTAGCTTGCCCACTGTGACATACGTGATGGTCCTGTGCCTGTACCTGGATGTGCTGCTGCTGCTACTTGCATTCTGTGTGTACTTGCAGCTTGTGCACCACTCTGTGTCTTCAGTGGGAGCCTCATCTGGTGGCAGTCGCCGTATTGGAAGTGGCCGCGCAAATGCATAAGTTTGACTTGCAAATGCCATCCGTAGAGGCTGGCAAGCCTTGGTGGTCTAATTTCGTCCCTGGCGTCGATGCTGAAATCATTCAAGGTAAAGGACAGCTTTGATCGTCTTCTAATTCAATGTGCGTGCGAATGTATGTGTCATTTGGATAATTTGGGTAGTTCAAGTATAGTTTTTCAGTTTGCACCAAGAGTACATACCATCCAGAGTGTGCAACTTCACTATCAGTGCTGCCCCGATAGAGTTTCAAGTTAGGGTCGTTTTGATGATGTATCTCTGGACATATCCTCGATCAGTGATGTGTAACTCCCCGTGTTGATCCTATACAAACCAATGCGAGGAAACACACGTGATGCCTTTTGATACCCAGTACAAACATTGTAAATCACTTGTGCGAGGAACTTGCATTGTAAAAATGACGTCAACTCGAAATATCTGTCGGACAGCACTGCATGCAGGAGTTGCACACTCTTCAGGGTTTAATGTGTACTCTTCATGGTTTTCGCCCATCATGAATATGTCGGTTCTTGATTTTTGTTATAAGAAGCCCTCTGACTGTGTGTGTATGTGTATGTATGTATGGGATTCTTTTGCACGCAGAGGTTGGACGGCAAGTTCTTTCATCCTACGAACCAGGTCATCCCGTTCTGGCTAAGGCAGCCGCTCTTGGTGCTGGTTCGTCACCTAATGTAAGCTTGGCGGCTGGCTGTGCAAATGCTAACATCATGCATACTTGTATTTGTGCATGTGTGTGGGCGCACACATGTGCGGGGGGGGGGGGGGGGGGTAGTTCTTCTTCAGGTATTTAGTCTTCGTTCACTTATCACTCACCCAGGGAGAATATGAATAGCAAGGCCACTGTCTGAGCTGTCCCTATTCTTCATGTGCGTGCGCATGTGTGTGTGCGTGCGCGTGCTCGTGTGTGTTCATGTGTGATTTTGATCCACCTTGAACCAGGTCTCCTTTGACACAATGCATCTGTCTGGACGTGGCAAGACGTAGTAGCGGGATAAGTTCTATTCAGCACTGCTGATAGATACTGTTAGTAGGACACAGGTCAGCACACGGCGCTTTGATTAGTGTCCAGTCAGCTGACTAGTGCTACCTCTGCGTACACCAGTAGCTCCGTTGTGACACCTAAGCGGAGTGGTATTTCACTGGCGTGTCTGTGGCTAGCTGTACGGTGCAACTGGCCAGCTGCTGTTTCTGTGCTGTGCACAAGTACCAGGGGCGTTGCGCCCACAGATGGGAAACTGTTTGGTCATTTCTCAGCTTTTCAGTTCTTATTCCAAACTCCTGGAGGTGTTGATTTCAAGCAACGCGGGTTTCCCCCGTTGCTGTTTCCTCTACCTGTTTTGACTGAGAACATGCCCGAGTCGAGTCCCTGGTTATATGTGGTCACACGTGGTCCCCGCACTGGCAGCTGGATACTGAAGCAACATCAGTGCACTGCTCGGCGCTGCACATCTACACTGATAAGTGTGCAACTGTTGCAATGTCTTTTCTCTGTGTGCGCGTCAGCTGTTGTAGACTTGGAACACACATAGTTTTGGGGATTTCCCCAGGCGTGGCAGCTGATTTTAATTCGTGGTCACTTCTAGCTGACAGGAACGTCCGCGTTTCCGTGGCGTGTATCAGTGGAGGCTCTTGTCTAACAGCTCATCGAGATGTGCGCGCCTTAACGTGAGCTGCTGTTGCTCCGTTGTGCTGTCTTGTGCCGTGCTTACCGCCGGATGTATTCCCGTTCCCTGGAAGCCAGTTGAAATCCATATGATTTCCATCTGTCTCCCTCATGAAACAAACTGATACGGTCATACGATATCCTGTTCATGAAAGAGAAAAGCTTTGAGTTGAAGAAGAAGAAGACCTACGCATTCCACTAGTGCTGTACCTAGTTTTAGCACAAGCAATCTCACCTCATCTCCACTTACATTTTATTATTTTACTTCAATAGTACATCTTAGGCAAGTTGTTATTTATTTCTATTTTTATTGTGGTGACTGTTTTTGCACACCACTAATACCCTGAGTTGATCATCCCCCCCCCCTTTTTTTAGACCTGCTTCAAGCACCGTGTCATGTTAACAGAAGCTGTGTATCTTACAGTCGACATACTGCGATCAGTTCCACTGTTGGTCTGATCAACGGCAGAACCTTTTTTGCTGCCGGAAACTTTTCCAGCGAGCTTGAGTCATCATGTACAGCTTTGTGCCAGGTGTGCATTGCGTGGTTGGATCATGTGTGGGTGAGTTTTGCGTACTGAAAACTTACTGAAAACTACTTATTGTGCTTCCAGAGTAGGGTTTTCAATTTTTCGCTCCGGGTTTAGAAAATACACCCCAGGTTGCAAAACTTGGGATGTAAGAATGTAGCATTTCAAAGTCCTGAGCCCCACCACTCCTGTACGTAAAAGTAATTCGTTGATCTCCCGAAATGCTGACATCAGGGAAAAATGTTGCCTTGTATCCAGGGAGTAGTACAATACTTGTATTGTACTACTCCCTGCTTGTATCCATCCTTGTATCTCAGTATCATTGTATCAAGAGTACTTGTAGTGTTATGCACTCTTGGGTAATTGTCTCCATAGGGGTTTCAGTCTTTCGCTCTTTACTACAGCCTGTATTGGCTGCAGTGATAGGTTATTAAAATTAATAGCAAGAGTGCATAAACTCTTCTGGCCTTGGACATTTATTTTCTTTGCTATCAGGTTCGGCCCTATTTTCTCGGTGCTGCGCTGATGAGTCCACAAAGGACGAAACAGTTCTGTCCGCAGTAAACTGGTAAACCCTTGGTAATAGATATTTGGCTAGTTTTCAGCAGGGAGTACACATATTGTGTTGTACTACTCCCCTGGTTTTCAGCAGCCGTTCTATTTTTAAAGAGTCCCGTATGATCTTCAGTGACCCTACCAAGCTGGACTTTGCACTTTGTGGGATTCTGGGGTGGATCCAGTCACTCTAGCCAGAACTGAATACTGTAATTAAAGAAATTTCGGTGTACTTCTTTATTTTCGGTGCATCTGTTTCATACCTATTTATTAAAAAATTTCAATACACTGAACAAACACTACCGCACGTAAACCATTAGGGAGCTGCTTCTCTGTATCTAAAATTTCTGTTCGCCTAACCTGGCCTTTTGCCCTCATCCCGAAAATTTCTGAAATTAGAGTGCTACAGTACATTTGTAGCTCGTACATGTACTGTACATGATTTCCAGGTACAGCAGTACATTTTCAAACTATTTTAAAGGTTGGTTCTGTGAACTCTCGTACCAATCCACCGGTTTTGCTTGTCTTGGCTCCATGCGTTGCCCTTCTTGTGCATGTGCACTCCGGGCCCGGGGTTGTGACAAGTTGTTTCCGCCTGGCTAGTGCACATCTAGACGGATTCACTTGGGTTCCACTCTTCAATTTGCATTGATCCATTGCAGCCACCTTCAAACTCCACGGCAAAATTCCATCACACGTGTTGAGTAAAATAAAAGTTTCAAAATAACAGATTAAATTTGTGGCGACCAAGAAGTAAGTTGCTTGATATTAACGTACGGTCATTTGTCTCAACGGACGAAACTGCAGATGATACGATACAGAAATGGCTAAAAATATTATAGAGTCAACCAGATACGCACGCATGAACACGAAAAAATTGAATGGTAATATAGGTCGATGTCAACTGAGATAGCAAATTTAAAAAAAAGAAATGAAGAACTGTTGTTAACATGAGATAGTTGACAGTTTTGTTTCGGTACGGCAGAGATTCAATCAACAAGGAGAATGCTACCGAGCAACATGGCACACTGAGAGGTCGAGATTGTGTATGTGCACCGAGCAACGTGCCACACTGAGAGGTCGAGATTGTGTATGTGCATGCATGAGCGAGCACTGTAATGGGTGGACACAAAACACGCGCGGGGGGAAAAAAGCTGTTGAGAAATGTATGACCGAGCGGGATCACTGTCCGGTGCAGTAGCTCGTGACGTCACAGACGGGGAGAGACACTGTCAGCTTGGGGTCAAAACGGCCTGGTATGTTCGTGCACACACAACACTTAGCATTGGCTGAACGTAATGGACGTGTGGTGTGTGTATGTGCGTGTGTATGTGTGGTGTATGTGTGTGTGTGCGTGTGTGGTGTATGTAAGGGGATGAGAAGGTGAAGAGATAACTTAGGAGTCATGCATGGACACGATCACGCTAGAAGTAGAAGAGTTCCGGAGGTAACTTGACGTTGGCAAGATCAGCGTAGCAGCACAGAAGACAACACATTGCAACGAGGGGACCGAGACAAGCAGTGTGGCGACTGCTGTGTGCAGGAAGCAACACTACCTACACACACGCATGCGCACTGGCCATTAGGAGTCTCCAGTGGGCTCCTCGTCCTCAAGCTGCGTCGAGGATCGCTCAGAATTCTCCTGAAACAAGGAGAAAGAGCAAAAATGGGCGATCAATTGTTAGATGCCAGGAAGCAAGACAGGGTTACTGTAAGTCTACAGTACGCCAACTGTATGAGCCAGGCCAGGCACATGTATAGCACAACTGTATGAACCAGGCCAGGCACATGTATAGCACAACTGTATGAACCAGGCCAGGCACATGTATAGCACAACTGTATGAACCAGGCCAGGTACATGTATAGCACAACTGTATGAACCAGGCCAGGCACATGTATAGCACAACTGTATGAGCCAGGCCAGGCACATGTATAGCACAACTGTATGAACCAGGCCAGGCACATGTATAGCACAACTGTATGAACCAGGCCAGGCACATGTATAGCACAACTGTATGAACCAGGCCAGGCACATGTATAGCACAACTGTATGAACCAGGCCAGGCACATGTATAGCACAACTGTATGAGCCAGGCCAGGCACATGTATAGCACAACTGTATGAACCAGGCCAGGCACATGTATAGCACAACTGTATGAACCAGGCCAGGCACATGTATAGCACAACTGTATGAACCAGGCCAGGCACATGTATAGCACAACTGTATGAACCAGGCCAGGCACATGTATAGCACAACTGTATGAACCAGGCCAGGCACATGTATAGCACAACTGTATGAACCAGGCCAGGCACATGTATAGCACAACTGTATGAACCAGGCCAGGCACATGTATAGCACAACTGTATGAACCAGGCCAGGCACATGTATAGCACAACTGTATGAACCAGGCCAGGCACATGTATAGCACAACTGTATGAACCAGGCCAGGCACATGTATAGCACAACTGTATGAACCAGGCCAGGCACATGTATAGCACAACTGTATGAACCAGGCCAGGCACATGCATAGCACTGTACTACAGGTGAAATCCTGATAATTCGAACCTCAAAATGCCAGGAAAAAACTTCTAATTATCCGGACATTCTAATTATCCAAACATGAACCCACAACTCAATTTGTACGCGGTCCTGGAAAAACTTCTAATTAAGCGGTATGTTCAAATAAAGCCATATTCGAATTATCAGGATTCCACCTGTATTCCCTACTATCAACTCTACAGTGCATTTCAAAACTATAGACGCGTAGGGTTTTTGAAATATTTCAAATTTGGCTGGAACTTTTTGAGAATAGTTTTCGGAATATTGCTCAGGATCGCTCCACAATTACTCTCATATAGTTTCTAAAGGATTGGATAACAGACGCCCAATTTGGAAAAATTTATGCACAAAGTGATCACAGATTTTATGTGGTATAGATGCTGGCATAACGGTTTTTGCCTAGGTACGCGTCTATAGTTTTGAAATGGACTGTAGGCAGGTACATAAAGGTAAAGGGAGCCCATAGTCAATCCCCACCATAAGAACAAGAGGCAACAATGATACATGTAGTGCTACTGCTGTTGCTGCTGTGGTGAGGGGAATAATCACCTGAGTGAGCGGTATCTGGTTAATGTGGTAGAGGAGAGCTATGGCACCGTGGAGAACTAGGACGGCTTTGCAAAGCAGTTAAGCTTCCAAAAGGATGGCATACAGAGAACAGCATGATTATTCATTTGTTTACTAAAGTGGGTATTATGACGAATAATCGTTTATGGAAATCGCAATCTGGTACACCACTAGTTCCAACCGCACATATTTCACTTACCAGCTCGGTTACCAGCTGAGCTGGAGCTTCAATTTGATCGGTGAGTTTCGTGGCAGTTTCACTATTCTTGCCAAGATACTCTCGCAGGGCAGCGCTGGGTAGCTGCAGCACTTCACACGCTGTTGTTGCTGTGTGCAAGCAAGTACAAGAGAGAACACGTGGACATATTTCAGTGCTGCTTCGAGTACACTCAGACCTCACTTATCCGCTTTCCTTGCAAAGCACTGGAAAGTGGGTCAGAGCATAATAATAAAAATGATTCGAGTGCACATATTACCGGTATATAATTTTGGTTATTCGTTCCCCTCGTCTATCTGGATATTGTCATAGAAATAGACAGCATGATGCTGTGAGCGAGGTCGGGCTGCCCTATGCTGCCAGAGTGCATAGATTAGATTCTTGCACACACGTGCACGCATGTGTGTGCTATGCATGCACCTGGCCATATGCACACACATGCATGAAAATAGGAATAAATAACCCCGACAACTGAATACACTATCTGCATCCAGTGCTGCGACAGCAGAGTTTCACATCACATGACATGGTTCAATGGGTTACGCTCGCTAACAGTGCAATGTGACCAGCAGAGAATCGTAGCCAAGACAGGGTTGCGTAAAACCCTGTAGCTATCATAAAGAGTACATCATTGCCCCCAATAGTGTGCCACTAATTACTTCAGCTAAGGGGTCTGGGACGGCAGAACTTCACATCATGTGATGAACCCGTACACATTATTCACATCCCGTGCATGATAGATACATGGTTGTACGCAACCCTGCTTTAGGGCCTGGTTAGACTGCGGCAAATTTTCGGCGCCTGACGAAAAAAGAAAATAGTTCAGGATTAGAATCGCGATCACACTACACATATGGAGAGAATGAAAATTCAAATTCATTTCGAGCGTCAAGTGGTAATAGGGAGGTTTAGTCCCAAGTAATCCGTGGGTACTTTACGTGTGTGTGTGCCACGTGATACTCAGTGACCCACGTACAGACGTTTTCTGATTCATGACATACCGTGTATGGAGGCTCACAAATCAGAATGGAGTGCATTGTGCAAGCTGTGAGGGTGCTCAGCTGGAGAAGTTTCCGAAGCACGAAATCAAAATATTGGATGCGCTTCTTAGGCCCGGGTAGCTTCGTCTTTGACCAGGTTTGGGCCTTTCGCTTCATGCTTTTGTTTGTTCTGTGTGACTAAACACAACATTGCAACGTGGGTGCCCTTCATCCACGTTACGTGGATCACCCACATACGCGTTTCTGTTACGTGGGAACTAATTTCTACTACTAACTAAACCTCCCTAATCTCCACGAACAACGTCAAATTCCTTCGCCTCGGTAATCGCCAACGCCTTCAGTGCAATCCTTGCAACCATCCTTATGAGTTTTGTTGTTGTCCGTGGCCACTTAGCTCTTCGATATCGAGATGAAAAAATCAGTGAATATCAGCGTCAATGGCGTATCAGCGTCAGTGGCCCGTTCTTGTTTTTTTGGAGCGTCAACCCTCGGTTTCACTGCCCTGGCGTCAAGTTTCTATTGAGATTCGGATTATAATCACAGGATTATTTCGTTTTTGCCGCAGTCTGACCAGGCCCTTAGGTACAACTCTCTTGTTAACACTTTGCACTGTTTGCCAGCGTAACCTTTTGAACCGTGTTACGTGACATGAAATTCTGCCATGGCAGCACTGTATAGAGGTTGTGCAGGCAGTTGCACACTCTTGGGTGTTATAACTTATGTACCCTTGCTATCATCAAGAGTATTATAAGCTCCCATACTTTTACTATCATGCATAGGCTGCAGTGTATGGATTCGTTATACAATATGAAGTTCTGCCGTCGCAGACCCATAGATTGGAGTTGCACACTCTCGGGGTATACTAGTATGTACTCGTGATGAAAGCAACCAGTGGAAATTATGTGATAGAAGTGCAACATACGAGGCACAGGAACCCGGGAGGGGAGTACTTGTAACTAGTTGTAAGCCTCAAGTGCTCACACGAAGAAGGAACCATTTGAAAGTGTGAGAAATCACTCCGGGACACATGTCGTCGTATCCAGCATAGCCTGCTCTAGAAGGTCCTGCCGTCTCAGAACGTGTTCAGGTGTATGGGAAGTGGCTGATAAAGGGAGGAGAGGGATTGGATTGAAACGGGTTCACAGCAAAAACTTATACTGAGCCATGTAGCATAGCTTGGACTTACCTCGAACAACACGTGTGAACAGCTCATTCTCAGGCATGGGCTCATCAGGATAGAAAGTTACCAGATCACCGAACAGGCAACCGGCCTGTGTTGGACAGCAGCAGAGGAGAGGACAAGACAAGACGGAACAATCCTTGCTCAATACAATATCTGTGTTCCACCGGAATAGCACAGAGAATCATGTGGCCAGTGCCCAGGACCGCAGTCTGCCAGGTACCAATCGGCGATACGTGTACCCGCATGTGGAGCGTGATGGGAGAGACAGTAGGCAAGCCTTTCCAGTGGTGTATTGCAAGAGTGTTGCCAGCACGCAAGGACAGCAAGCTCTCTCAGAACCCGATCCACAAGGATCCTGCTTGGCGCTACATGTGAAAGTGAGCATTCCAGTTACACTTACATCTCTCTTATCCGGGGAGGGGGTCCGGGACCGGCCACTGCCCATAACTTGGAAATGCCCGTATGTTTTGATGGGGAGAGGCCAGAGATCTGGCACAGGGCGTCACTATTTCCACAAAAATTGGCAAAAGAGTAGTGATATTTCCACTAAAGCTCACCCACAAGGTGCCCGGTAGACCGAGGTGCCTGTAACTTGGAGGTCAGGAGAAGAGAGCTGTGAGTGTACATGTACTGCACTGCTTACATGTACATGCATGTGTTCCGCCGGTAATTCGTGTTTGTGCATAGCAACAGTTGAACTGACACGAAAGATCAAGACCTAGGTTTAAGCCAGGGAGACCAGTGGGAGGACATTTACTTACGGTCACTGCCTCCATGCCAATGGCCATTTCGCACTCCTCCGTCGGATAAGTCATTATCTACACATAGGACACACATGCAAGCGAGCGCGCGCATGCACACACACAAATGTTGTGTGCATGGCAGAGGCCTTGCAACATTGCATCACAAAAGTAAGGAGCAAGCGGCAACAATATGCCTAAATGAGTTTGCCACCACAGGCATAGTACTGTACCAATGCAGCCAGCACACGATAACATGTACATCGTTCGGCCTCAGCTGCAGGGTTTGACAAAAAATGAGGATTGCAGCCAGGGGGATGAATCCTACATGTCCAAAATCAGCCTCTGTGACTTGCCGAGGATTGGCGTTGGGAACTCAATACTACGATTACATACCCTACAGTGCAGTCAGTTGAGAGACTACCGAGTCAGACACTACAGGATCTTGGAATGAAGCACAGTCATGTACAAAGAACCTCTCTTATCTGGGCGCCTATCAATCGAAGTATATCGTTACGTATTCTGGCAATGCACTGAAAGTTGAAACCATAACGTATGTATGATACCATTCTCTTGAATAGAGTTCACTAAAGCGGGATTCACAGAAGCTTTTTTGCGATGCGACACGCGATGCGACAGGCGCGAAACCGGGAAAACCCCAAATCGCAGCCTTGTCGCACCCCACGCAACTGCCGCAACTGGGCCATCGCAGAAGTTGAGCTTGGCTCAACTTTTGCGATGCGATGCGACAAGCGATTTGGCGTACGATTTTGACCTTTTCTACAGCAAAGTTGTACAAAGGTTCAAGAGTTGCCTTTAAATTTGTACAAGTTGTATCAAACCGCGCGAATATCATGGCGACGTAGCCAAATCAGCAAGATGTTGTCGCATCACTGACTTCTTCTGTGAATGGTATTTCGCGAGTTCGCATCGCACGCATCCATCGCAGATCGCGTCGCATCGCGTGTCGCATCGCAAAAAAGCTTCTGTGAATCCCGCTTAAGCCAGAATCGATACCATACACAAGCATACACACAATGAGCTGAGGATTATGACCGCCATCACAGAGTGATATAGCTCAGATGACTGGCACGAGAAGGAAGACGTTGTTTCAAAGATTTGACTGCAAGTACCTGCCTGCAAGGTGCCTGGATAAGAAAGTTTCTACTGCTGTTATGGTGCTGCTGCCAACAGGGACTGGCACAACAACAAGCCTGGCAGCGCACTCACCTCAACATCGCCCTGAAGAACAAAGTACACCATGTCGTACGTGGCGCATGTCGTCGACTTCAGGATCTCCTCGGATTGCTGCGCAAGCACGGCACAAAGTACAAGAAGTTGATCAGAGAAGTAAGAAATGAGCACTCCTTAAATTGTATACCTATCAATATCATATGATTGCCTTTACAATTGGGCACGGGATAACGCATCAGAATACTAGCAAAACATGCACCATAGCACAAGCAAACTCAAGCGTTCTCCTTTTTCCCCCAAGCATAGCTGGTTTATAGGCAAATTCAAAAAAGTGTGTAGTCAAACTCGTTAATACTGACCTCGGGCATACCAACCAGTCGCGAATATCGACACATGTTTCAGACCAAGCCATCGCTTGACTGCATACTTTCAAGTTTCAACCTTACGGATAACGACACTCTTCTTACCCTCAACAGGGGGGGGGGGTCATTATTCGGTTGACTGGGAAATGGTGAAGGGCATGTCAACTTGGTAAGCGATGAGTCATTCGACATACCTTGTACGACGCCGATTCCGTCAACAGTGCTATCTGGCTAATCGACTGCCGATCAAGCATACTGAATAGTGGAAACTGTACAAACAAGATCACAGCGACAATTCAGAAGATTGCAAAGCAACACGTGACATACTGCCTGGTGTGCGTCATATAGTTATTTCCAAACACAACAGCTGGATAGCCAAGAAAGACTCTGTCCGGCAATAACATAAATGCATTGTATTTGAGGTGCCACAAAACAAAACCCGCCTGCGCCCTTGGCACGATTTAGTGCTGTAGGTCAGTGTATTGCATGACTCCTGCCCCCCCCCCCCCCCCACACACAGTGAAGGGACATGCAATGACACTGGCCAGGTCTGCAACAGCAGCCTTATCAATTCATCATCAACAGCAACAGTAGTATGACCGGTAGAGAACATATCAACTTACAGAGAGCAAATATTCAGCCATGCTGGACAGTGCAAAGTCCTTGCCCATAGCATTCGTTGTGTTTAGTGCCTTTGTCTTTGCACTGAGGATCTTCAACCGTTCGTTAGCTTCCTTCATTATTCTAGGAAAGGAAGAGCGAGAGAGAGAGAGAGAGAGAGAGAGAGAGCGAGAGAAGGAGTGAGAGAGAGAGAGAGAGAGAGAGAGAGAGAGAGAGAGATCACTACAATGGCAACAGTGACAGCAGCAGCTTGTATACGTACTATGTAGATGTGCATGGTAGAGCAGAGTTTTGTATTTGTGGTACACAGGAATACTCTTGGTTATCACGCGATATACTCTAATTTCAGATATTCTCGGTGCTCAATATCTTCGGTATGAGAGCAAAAGGCTAGGTTAGGTCAACAGAAATCTTAGGTACAAAGAAGCAGTTCCCTATCGGATTATGTGCGTTGGTGTTTGTTCGGTGTATTGAAATTTTAGGCATGAAACAGATGCACCGAAAGTACCGAAAATAAAAGTACACAGAAATCTTGTGAAATTACAGTACGCGGCCCCGTAAGCTAGTCTATCCATGCGATGAAGCACTTCCAGACACACAGAGTGATGCCCACCCCCCCCCCCCCCCCCCCACTCCCCCAACCAACACCTTCCTTCCTTTTCCCACTGCTACAACTGACTACTAGTATGTGTCTCCATATTAGAGAGGTGACTTGCATACCAACACAAAAGAGGTGCACACAAATTAGTAGTCTCGTGATCAGCACAGAGGCAAGACGAAAAGCATGGAAAACATGGAATACCGTCGGAGCCTTACTTTTCCTTCATCTCCGGCATCTCACTAAGAATAGGAAGAAAGGAGTCCTTCTTGACAGACAGCAGTAGCGAACTAGCGAACAGAACACGGCCAGACATCATCAAAACAAGCGCAGGGCACAACATTAGTAGGGTGAACAAGCGACTGAATGACTGCAGTAGAGCACACCTGACAACTATGTGTGAAGATGTGCAGACACTGATTAGGATTGGTGATCTTACTTTGTGGCTGCTCTGCAGCTGCATGTTCTCGGCCTGTCAAAGAGAATTCCTGTACGCAGCAATAAGAAATAAAAACATGGAACTAGTGTAAAGAAGCAAGCTGTACGAAGCCCATGGCTTCACTATCACAAGAGAGAGAGAGAGAGAGAGGGGGGGGGGGAGAGAGAGAGAGAGAGAGAGAGAGGGGGAGAGAGAGAGAGAGAGGGGGAGAGAGAGAGAGAGGGGGAGAGAGAGAGAGAGAGGGAGAGAGAGAGAGAGGATGCACTGAGATATGAGTCCAATATCCATAGCAGCTGGGGAAAGTAGACGACACCAGGAAAGGCTTATGATACAATGTACAGATATTCACTGCCAACCTACCAATTTCACCGAAAATAGAACCTTCCGCGAGCTCAGCATATACAACTTCACTATCCTCTGAGATGACTGTGGGTAAAATATAAACACGCAAGAAAAAGCACAGACACGCAGATAGAGAGTTGATTAGTATCCCTCCACTTTTTAGAGTCTGCTACTCCTGACACCATATCTACGGGGCCCGCCGCCGATGGCGAAAACTCACATCACGTGGTGTAGCGTTCCCGTTGTAACTGTTGTGTTCCCAGCTCATTTTTAGTGACCAGGGAGTAGTAAAAATAGCACTCCCTGACAGAAACCCACTCTGATATGCAAGTCATCGGCATGATCATGGCAGATATTCGGATTGCATGCACGCTGACCTTCACAGTACGTAGCACAAGTCATACTTGGAATACATGATGTGAGTTTTCGCCGACGGAGACTCCACATTTAGAGTTGCACACCCTTGGGAACTTAGATAATCTGGGTATTTCGAAGTACTAGAAGCAAACCTTCATGAGAACACATCTGCATGGTTGCAAGGTGGAGGCAAGCTAGACTTTTCCCAAATGATTGTCTGGAGAAGTCTAGCCCCGCATGCTACAGTAATAGTTTTCAAGACAGTGAGTATGTTCATAGTATGTTCGTAGTATGTTCGTAGTATGCACGTAGTATGTTCATAGTATGTTCGTAGTATGTTCGTAGTATGTTCGGTGTTTCCTCATTCTTCGCAACCACCTTCACTTGGCAGTCTGCCTCAGAATAGTCTTGTTCGTAACTCGGACTAGCGAGCAAAAGCAAGCAGTATCGTATCGTGCATTGAAAACACATTGGAGATCTGATGCGGTAGCGCACGCAACAAAATAAATAATGACAGTCCTGCAAGTTATGAACGTCAGCTGGGTACTAGTAGATATCTATTCGGTGTGCGTGTGTGCATGTGTGTGTGTGTGCATGTGTATGTGTGCACGTGGCCGCGCCCGTCATCGCTGCTCACGGACTTGTAGTCGTCCGACCGTTCAGGACCGTCAGGGTTTCACATGTGTTTGCGCCTGCTCCCGCCGATTTCGCCTACCGCATCACCTGGATCGTCACAGGGCTGTGTGCTCCTCCTCTCTCTCAGCTGCCCCTCCGGGGCCCACGTAACCTTCATGGCAGTGGCTCAACAGGACAGGACAGGTGTGTATGTGTGTGTGCATGTGTGTGTGTGTGCATATGCGTCTGTGCTGGGAGGCACATATGGTCTCAGTACAAGCAGCACCCACCTTCTACGGTACCTCTAGCGACGAAGAAAATCGCTTTTGCAGTCTCTCCCTTCCTGCACGAGAAACAACCGGGCAAGAAAAAAACACCTTTCAGGACAAAGGTATCCTGTTCACTCCAGTGGTGATTGAAGCAGCAAAGAGTTCCCTGAGATATCATAGGTCTGTTGTGCATGCACATGGTGCGTACAGGACAGCGATGGGTATACATGCTTACATAAACTGATCAGGGTACGGTATATGTGAACACTGTACAGGCAAATAATGTTCTGGACATTTACCTTATAATAACCTCTCCCTGATGCACTGGTCGCACTTGAGCAGCCTGCGCCACCTTCGTTTTGATCTCAAGCTGGGCACAGAGCACCGGTACAGGCAGTGACAAACGTTTAAAACTGGTTGAACAACACCCGTGCTACATAATAAGTAGACTATAAGATTCTTCTGCACTGAATGCAACGCAGCGCAACAGCTCTGGTACGGTCAGAAGTGTGCACAACTCCCGGTGGATGATCTGACATGGTCCAGATATGTTACTGTGATGTATGACGCAGTGTTTGAAAAGAGAGAGAAAAAGCCGCATAATCCACTGCCCAGCGGCACATCGTTTAGATGGAATAGAGCGAGGTCATGGGTTATGCATGCCACTTACCGGTGCACCTTCCAGCCATGGCATGCCATCAAGAAACTCGACAAGATTGTTGGGAACGTTGGGCAGGCTGGAAGTCAAGAAAGGCCAAAGAGAAGAGAGAACGAGACGGCATTAGATAAGCCAGAATAGACATACTGGTCGCATACTACATGATGGTTCTAGCTTCAAAGGCAGCTTGTCCAGGTTGACCCACACAGGAGTTCCACAGCCACGTATGCGTGGGCGTGTGTGTGTGTGTGTGTGTGCGTGTGCGTGTGTGTGCGCGTGTGTGTGCGTGTGTATGCGTGTGTGTGATGAGAGTGAGTGAGTGAGTGTGTGTGTGAGAGAGAGAGAGAGAGAGAAAGCAGGCCCCATTTCAAAACAAGCCCAGAGGCAACCAGGCGGTAAACTCACGCTGAGGAAAGAGGCGAGCGTGCCGGTGAAGAGAGCGGACTACCGCTAGTGCCACCAATGCTGATGCGCCGGAACTTGGGTGTGACATGCTCGATGGGAACAGAGGCGGCACCTGATGGCGGCGAATTGGAGGTGGACGGTGAGCTGAAAGAGCCAGTACTGGCTGGTGCACCGAGCTTCAATGGTGTAAGATTGACACTGCGTCGACGGGAAGGGCCGTTCATGGAGGACAGTGATCTAGACACAGACAGCACATAGCCTGCTGCTCAGTAAACCTAAGCCCCTTCAGCAGCTTGCAGGTTGTCATATTTCCAGCAGGTAGAGCAAGTCACCCATAGTACAGTGCTAAAGTGAAATGCTGTTACAGCATTGCCTAGCAAGTCACAGTGCTGTCTCAAATTCCTGCTCAACCCTCCACTGAGAACACCCCCAGTCTGGATGATAACGTGAGTATTATGTTAGCGCGGCGAGTGCATTGGTAGCTGGATAGCAACAACGCATGTTGTCCACGCTAGAAGTGTTAGACTTTTAACATAGCAGAAAACTACGCGCATCACCTACGTCAAGCACTACAGTCTGAATTTCAGATCAAACAGTCCAGCAGACTTTCAAAGTTGGTTTTCGCTGATTTTAGGCTCAAATGTTGCACGCACATGGCAATACGATGCGGGGGTGAGGGTACAATTGTTCTGGCTGTATCTAATACTATCTGCTCAATGCAGCAGCAGGTTACCGATAGGACGCTAGTTCTGGATAAATGCACTGCAGTATAGTGTATAAATGTGGCTGGCCCACTCAACATTGCTCATAGCATGGCGACAGATACTGCAAGATTGCAGTGTGGTCAACGCAGCATCTAGTAGCCATTAGTGGTTGTAAGCAGCAAGCACAGCATACCGAGAACTCCACACTGCTATTCATGTGAACCTGGTCTTCCTTAGGGGCCATCCGGCATTATCGATAATTTTCATGGAACGAAAAAGTTTAGTTACAACCCTCCCCCCCCCCCCCCCCGAACGAAAAATATATTGACATCGCGAATGGATGGCTAGAATGGATCGATGTTTCAGCTATCAATATTTTTCAAAACGAAACTTTCCTCGGCCCACCCACCCATAAACGAAACTTTTTCGTTTCGTGTAAAAGATTGACAATTATGGAGGTTTCTCTCTGCACTATTCCTGCACTGTCCACATCACACTAGCCAGCACAGCACCCATCACAGCCAGGACTGATAGTCATAGATCGCAAACGTGTGACTTACCGGCGCTGGTTGCGGTTGCTCGGCGACACGGCATTGAAGAAGCAACTTGGCGAAGTGGCGCTGGTGCACGGCGACTTGGAGCCAGTGCTGAGCGGACTGCAGGGCAGGCGAGAGTTGCTTGCATCGTCGTGTTCGGCCAGTAACGCCGACGCGGACGCCGGGTTGAATGGCGACTGTAGCTGTGATGCAAGCGGCTGTGCAGCGTAGACACTGTCACGCCGGGGTGGTGCCACTCCCGCCACCGGCCGAAATACACGGAAACCAGTCCTCTGCTTGGTGAGGTCGGCCAAGCTGGTGGACGAGATCAGGTCGCTGTTCACAGACATGTTGAACCTACAGCGGTTTCGGTTTGATAGTGGGGGTAGTAGTGGCAGATGTGCGGGTGAGGGGTGCTGTTCAGGCTAGCGACCTTCAAATTCTCTACACATTGGTAGCTTCTTGCAGCAATGGAGACGCACATCATGGGCGCAAGCACGGAGATATCCGCATACAAGCAGACACAACACACATACACACACACAGACACACACAGCACAGCACACAAACACATAGCAGCCATGGAAAGCAAGATCACGGTAGACTTACAAAACCACACTGGGCCAGGGTACAGGACATAACGGAGCATTGCAATAGATCAGAGTAACCGGCAATAGCACAATCCCTGACCCAAGAAGGCATCGGGTGATGTGAGATGATTGCAGATACATTCATACATTGTGCATGCAGCTGGTGGACTTGATAACAACATTCTGAACAATAAGTGGCATCGGATATGGAACGGAGGCTTTGTCACAAACTGTGGGCGGGGAGGTTGTGAATGACACGGGTAGGACTGCCTAAGCAGGATTCATAGGATTTTCACAATGCAAATTCATGAATACGATTCACACAAAAGCGAGCGGGAAAATACGGTTTCTCTTAGTCCACACACTCACAACCGCACAAACATACGACTTGCGCCACAGGTACATACATGTAACTCCCTGGAGTGTCCAACTGCTGATGGGTGGCCGCCACGACTCGTTTCCTGACACCACCTCATCTTTCACTATGCAACCCGCTCTATGCATGCATTTGCAATTTGCAATTTGACGTTGACACATGCAATGTGCTTCCGTGTACAGGCAAGTTGCATTACATCACGAAAGATGACATAATCTGAAAACGGGGGGGGGGGGGGGGGGGGGGGGCCGGGGGGTTGTGTAGAATTGCACTTCTGGTTGTACAACCATTCGCAGATTTTCAGTTTTCACCCGAGCTTCAAATTTGAGTGCAAACAAATCTCCGGCACGTGTGTTGCTGATAGAATGCCTAACGTGAGCTCAGAGCAAGCCCAGTGATCAGCTACATTGTAGTTGTTAGTTGTGAAGGTGGTGACTCGCAAGTCTACTGGTAGAAGCTGCCCCAGGCCTGCAAACACTGGTGTTGCAGGGCAGCACAGACAGTAACCTACTCATGAAACTTGATCTCAATCAGTGGCAACGTAGCATGCACTCCTGACGAGCCAGACAGGGGCAGGACCAACTTTACCCTCCCTCCACGCCTCTACAGCAGAAACGGCAAAGGCTCAAATTGGCCCTGGCCCTCTCCTTCAGTTTAGAGATTAGCCAAGGCCCGTACATTGGGCTTCGAAATTATGTGCACATGATATGTAGAGTGTGCCTTATTTGGTCAAATCATGGCGTATTCAATCCTGAGCAGTTGCATTTTGTTCTATTTCCGTGAGCGAGGGGAGACAATTACTGCCACGTACATGATTGTAAAAGTACTTGTTCTACTGCCACACTCCTGAGTGAACATACAATTACAATTCGCATACAAGTAAATGTATGTTACATGATGTACTTGCGCTGTCTATATCGTAAACAAACTTTGCGAAGATACTCCTCGAAGTAAACGACAGCAACAAAAAAAACATTGCGACTCATAGTTTACGGATTGACGGAGCATTGCGAACAGCACAAAACTCAACAGAGACACAATTCAACACAAACAATGATGTACATGTACATGTATGTCGAATGTCCCAATACATGATTTCCCGCAAATGACCTTGCGACCTTGGCCTGGGACGAACTCTGTCCGATAATACACAATGGCGATCACAGTTACTTCTCCTCACCTGCAAAGGAAGTCAAGTCCTGGAGTCCTCGCGGTGCCAAGGCGTTGGTCACCGCCTGGCAGAGAGAAATGCTGATGAGGTCTTGCTAATCAAGGCTAACGTTCACAAGCATCCAACAAAAAGTAGAAGTCGTCGAAGGACAACTCAACAAATACGTCCTGAAAAAATTCTTCGCACTTGACCGAAAAGGGCGAGGCGACAACCGCAGATATTTTCAGTCAGAGTCACACTCCACACACACACGTAGATCTACACACAGACAGATCGAGAGTTGATCTCAGTGACTTTCACCAGCCAGGCTAGGCCCAGTCAATAGTAAAGGGTTATAATATTATGACCCGAGGCTGTGAGTCATGTGACTTCACTTCAAAAGAAAAGCGCTTCCAGTTCCATCGCGCCCTGCTGATACTCGCCACTCAGACTGATTTTGAGCTTGGCAGTGAACAAGTCGATTTGCCATTGATGTGTTTTGTTTCTATCGTCACCTGAACTGGCTGAAGTGACTGAATCAGAAACAGAAATATCCCAAATTAACACGTCGTTTAGTAGCATTCTTACTTTCGCGAACAAGATGGAGACATCACCCAAAGGATCCGAGGAAATTTTTCACGCATTGCAAGGTAAGAAATTTCACCTATCCACTCAAGTACCCAACCAATTATTTCAATTTCTTTGTTCAAACCTTAAATTCGAAATGTTCTCTTGCTCGTGTCTTTTGCAGAGTTTTCTGAAACTCCCCAGAGTCTACGTCAGCTGTCACAGCCTATCGAGGACCTGCTAGAGAGTGTAGCGAAGACAGGAGAACTGGAGTGAGTGGTTTGTTAGCCTAATTTTCGAAGCACCATGCCAATGCACGCCTGTTGTGTACATGTTTAGGCTAGTGGTGTGTGAGTATCTTGTGTAGTATCTTGGAGATATACATAGATTCATGGCGATTGTTTTTCTGTCACCATTTCAAAATTAAATCAGGCCCTATTCATACTCAACAGAGCTTTTTGCCCATGCCCCTCCCCCCAGTGAACACCTCTACGAAACGTGCACGATGGCATACAGGTATAAGGGATACCGAAGCCAGATTTGCCAAGTGGTGTAGCTATTCGTCCGTCATCTGTTATATGCGAACAATGCCTGCCCGCCCACTCACACACGCATGCATAAACACACGCACCCACCCACACAAACACACACGCACCCACCCACACAAACACACACACACACACACCATTTGACGCCCATCGCCGGAGGCGATGATAGCGCTGCTACAGCAGAAGCCATAGCAACTTGTGCTGGGATTGCACCATTCAACAGCTTGCAAGGCTGAAGAATTGGCCGCCACTATTCAGCCTGGTCTACACCGCGCAGCTATGAAGTGGCTTTTTCTGGCCACTGAATCACACACACCACACACACACACACACGCACAAACACACACACACACACTTGTACTGTACTTGCTCACTGCCAAAACTGGTCACGTGGGTCTCCCCGGGAGAGGGGAGAGGGACTCAAAAGGAATCTTGGAAAGATGACTTAGTTGGCTATTGAACCGCCCAACGGCCGACACCCCTTGAAATCCCCAAACTACACACGCGCGCACGCACACACACACACACACACACACACACACACATGTACACACATTAAAGTCCGCTGTACCCTGCTTTGCTCGCTGTACACCTCTAGCAAACCTTGGGAGTAACGTTAAAAGTTCATTTTTCATGTTCTCACTCAAGGAGGTCTCACTTCACGGGGATTTTCTCGTTGGAATTTGTGCTTCAGTGAAAGTCAAATCAGATTCAGCCGAATACGATGCTTTGAGAACATTTTGTGAACAGTATTCACCCACATCGTGACATCATCTACGTAATATGAGAGCTATCTCTGCTATTATCTGTGATAGCATTGAGATACCACTTGTCTGTGAAGCTGCACTTCATGTTTTATTGCTGCGTGGTTGTGGATGGGGTTACGACTTTCCGACGTGAATAACGTATCGGAAGATAGTTGTGCGCGGCAATAAACTAGCAAGGGAATATCTAATTTGCAACTGTAGCTAGCTGCTCGAGACTGTGTCTTGCAAAGAGCAAACGACCATGTGTGCATGAAGCAGTGAATAGCAACCTTTGTTGTTGCTGCATATTTATGGAAATTGCGTTGTTCTACACCTCTATAGAGTGGTTTCACATCTTTGTCATGTGACTAAATTTGTGTAGAAACTAGAACGTGATCATGGCATGTAGACAGTGTATTACTATTAGGCTGTGTTTACATGAGGCGTTTCAACCCGGGTTGAGTTCGACCCGGGTCAGATTTCAACCGGCCATGTACTTCGAAGTACACAAAATGAATGGCGCGTTTACATGACGCATTGCGCTTGACCCGGGTTGAAATTTTGCCCCGGGTTGATTTCAACCCTCCCCCCCCCCCCCCCCAAGGGGAGGGTTGAAATCAACCCGGGTCAAGAAAATCGTACAAACGTACTTCTGTGCGTATCTCGCGCCAGGTTTGAACAGCACTGCAGATGCAAATTTCGCTGGAACGGATTCACGTGACCATACAGGACTGTAGAAGTGGACTTTTGGCGGCATATCAGTATTTGACCCGGGTCAACTGTCTTCGTGTAAACGCTCACCTCTTTTGTCTATCGTACAGACTTTCAACCCGGGCTGAACTCGACCCGGGTTGAAATTTCTCATGTCAACACAGCCTTAGATCCGGTTGCACTGCAGCCGAACTGTTTGAAGCAGTACTTCCCGTTGCATGCGGCCTCTGTGCAATGATTGTGCACTGCCATTCATGCTTGCGCCTTGCATCTTCGTTGTATTCACACTGTACACACGGCGTGATATTTATCACGTGCTCTTGCTACCATAACTTCTAGGGTCTGGTGTTTTGGTAAAGTTAGCTAGAATCTGGACTGGTGCCGTGCTGAGTTTGTGTTTGAATGACTGCGGGAAGTCATTGACAGACAGTGGAGTCAACATGGCTGACATTGTGTGACCCATAGATCACCCAAGGGTGGACTGGACTAGGAACCAACATGGCCGTCCCGTATGGTCATGTGATAGATGTGAAACCTCTCCACTGGCTACTCTGTCTGTGCGTGATCTCGTTACTATCTACAGCCACCCGTGGAATCTGGTCCGTCCTGCTATTCACTTCAAGTTGCACAAGGTGAGCTATTCTTGTTGTAAAGAGCCGTTTCGGAGAAAGAAGTTTCAGCAAAGCAATGAATAAAACAATTGAAGCCGACGGAGACTCCCTCGATTTAGGCTAAGGCCTGTGGAGAATCCATAAATACAAATACAATACATAATACCATGATGGACTAATAAAGTAAAAAATAAAATATGTGAAGTCAATATATGAAGCACACATTCTTCTGAAGGTACAAATATTCCACTGCAGCTAATTCGTATCTGTAAAGCGGAATATTACCGCCGCCAATTTGTCCATGGTGGTGCAAGATATGTTCTCTCGCACACTGCTCCTTGCTACATATGTCAGGTCCTGTACCGCTGCTACTTTTTAAGAGTACATGTACTTGAAAGAGTGCCTGTGCTACTAATCGTGCTCTGCTTGATTGCCATTGTTTTACTGGGTGTTTTCGAGCAAAGGGAGCTGCTTGTCGAGTCCTCCCATCATATTTCCAATAGAGGATCAGAACACAACAATTTAATCAGTCAACTGCGGAGTAATTTCCAGGAGTTTTTCGGCCCATTATCATAGATACATGGGAAATACAGCTAAGAGGAAGAGAGAGAGAGAGAGAGAGTCAAAACAGCCCAATGTGTCGACTGTCTTGCCTTCATTCCCCACCGATGAGAACGGTGTGTATCGCGAGTACATGTTTTAACCAACATGGAATCCAACTTCGGCAGTAAGTGCATGTATGTGGCCACAGTGCTCTATAACATGTGTCCTCGCAAACTCACTAAAAAAGTCTAGACTCAAGATTTCATTTTGTAATGTGAATATGGGTCAGTGTACAGTGGTGTATTCAGACTGGCTACTTCAAGGTACATGCAGTTTAGTAGTGTTACTCCTTGGATGTGACTTTATGGTTCAGGTACTCGGAGACTTCTTCGAATCGACCAATTACCCCGACCGTACCGAGGCAGAACGGGAGCATGCTGAAATGAAAGCTACTATCTTTGACCGTTTACTTTCATTTGACCGGTAGGTACATTCAACTTGTAGCACCATGCTCTGGGCCTGGGTGTTGCATGCATGTTTTAAAGTGCACGATAAAATACTCTGTAGACATGTCTGCCATTATTTAGTTGCCGCTGCTTGTACAGTATACTTCTGAACATCATCATCGCCCTGTTCTTCTTTAGGGAGTCCAGTTTATGCATTTTAATTCTGTGTCACTTATACTTCTATTCAGCTGCGCAATTGATTTTCTGGCTTCGTAGGGTTTACTGTTTATTGTCCAGTAAGGAGCATGCTTTTTTCTAGGGTTTCAGTGCATGTGTGTACTGGTATGTGTACCTGCCCTTCGCTGCACAGAGCACCGTTCACTCTGCAGAGATTATGTGAGCTGGTAGTGTGGCCACAGAAGCACTACACTCGCTGCGATAAGTACATGCGTGGAGTCATAAAGGTACCAGTGGATTTGTCGGTTTCTCTCTTCTTCCTCTCTCTCTCTCTCTCTTTCTCTCTCTCTCTCTCTCTCTCTCTCTCTCTCTCTCTCTCCACAAATTCACTCCACTATGAGTTGGTGGTGTCATGCACAAATTCTCTGCACTAGGAGCCAGTCTCCCGCAACATTTGTGAACCTCTCTACTAGGAGTTGGTCTCCAACAAATCTTTCGCTCGAATCCAGGCACTGGCTTACATTTGCAGTTTCTTCTTTCTCTCTTTCTTCGTCACTGCCGAAATAACAGTCGAGACGGTTTTACCCACCGGTTTTTTAGGTGCGAAATATAATCTGAAAATGACTAGTAGTCTTTTGGTAAGTCGGCTTGTGCTGTGCAGTCCCAGTACCTGCAAACTTTGAACTCTTTACTGGGGCAGAGTGCAAACTTATTCATGAGCCCAGATTTCATTGAACAGCTCTGTTGATGACCCATTGTCTGGTTTGGAAAAAACCCGAACTTCTTTCACCAGCACTGCTGTTCAGACCGATTCGAATGCTTTCCATTTCTCTGATTGTCTTGTTATCCTTTTATTTTAGCCATTAACGAAAGCCTTGGATCTGGTTGCTAACAGCTCCCTGCATCTGCCATCATCGCACACTCAGTACATGGCTTAGTGGATTCAGGATACATGTACATGTACTGAAGTATGATGTGTTATCTGTTATGCGTGTGTTGTGCGTTCTGGTGTAGGTTGTGAAAGTTGTATCAACCATTGGCTCCCCAATCTGCAATGGATCTTCACAGTAAGATGTTATTTTTGCTAGGCAGGCCTAGGAGCACAAAACAAAGATTCTGCAGCTTTGCGACCCATTGGTCCATGGTGGAATATTTTTTACATCAGCCTTTTTCCCCTTTTTTCGTTAATTTTTCGTGGCTTTAGGTCACTGATGCCATGATGCGTAGCCAGAGATCCGAATTGCAAAGAACTTGTACATCTCGTCTGTGGTAGTCAAAGCAGAGTAACGGGCGGTAATCCATGTGTCCTGAGCTGATACTGTACTCAACCATACATGACAAGCGCAAAGCACCTGCTCACTTGATCGTACTTCTACCAAAAATGACAATGGTCGAGTCCATCGCAGCTCAGGATTGAAGGTGTATGCTCTTCGCTATCCATTGACATGCGGCGTCACTGGGCAACAGAGACAGAGAGACACGCGCAACACATGCCGCCCCACTGGGTCCAACAGTTATTCGAGGAGGATTGATAGTCACCGATCACTAACTTCTCTTCCGCACCACCACCACTGGTCCGTCATATGAAGCTGGAACTTTTGATTTTTAAATTATAAAATGTAACTACAGGTGGAATCCTGATAATTCGAATATGGCTTAATTCGAACATACCGCTTAATGGACCCATTGCGCAATGACGTAAAAACACCCTTCACAGCCAAATATGGAATGCATGAGTAATGCTTGTGAGTATGCTGGGATCAGGAGTGCACTGTTCAACACCCCAGACGACACCCCCCCCCCCCCCCCCCCCTCAGGTGGCTGTGAAGGGTGTTTATGGTACAAATTTCGTCATTGCGCAATGGGTCCATTAGAAGTTTTTCCAGGACCGATTTCTATCAATACGATTCCCACATAAACATTTCTGATAATTCAAACCTCGAACTGGATATGTCCTGTTAATTAGAAGTCCCACAGATTCCACTTAATACATAGAAAATGTGTGGGATTTGTGCTGATAATTCGAAGTTAGCAAAGTGTATTTCGAAGTTTACTGTACACTGTGCTGGTCAGTTCAGTTTGCATGAGCAGGCTGTGCCGGTCAGTTCAGTATCCGTGAAATCTGTGTCTAAGGTCCATAGCGCAACTCTGCGTGACCATGAGAGCATTTTGACATACATATTGTGTTGTGGGTTCATGTTTGGATAATTAGAATGTCCAGATAATTAGAAGTTTTTTCCTGGCATTTTGAGGTTCAAATTATCAGAATTCCACCTGTATTATAAATCTTCAAAAAAATTCAAAGAAATTCCATGTTGAAGTTTCGAAACCTAGACGTGGGGCATGAATGTGCTAAGCTGTACTCAGATGGTGAAAGTGAAGCATTTTAGGCAGAGAGTAGTAAAATATTTTACTACTCCCTAATTTTAGGCTGTTTTTAGCGCTGTTGTTGGGGTAATCCCACATGTGTCAGCAGTGTCTGAGGAGAGCTATGGCATCTTACAGAATGCGGTCGGCATTGCAAAGCAACAATTGATGTTTAGAAGGGTATTGCTGGTAGATGGAGAATAGTTGATTACTGGTTTGTTCATGAATCAGTTTTCACGCGAATATAATGGTCTGTGGAAATCGCGGTTCGTAATATCATCAAGTTTATTGTTGAGCATGATACTACTCCGAGCGTTTATGCAAAGTCGTAACCTAATTTGGTGATCTGCAATTTTGCCTTACTCTTTTGCTACAGCTCGCTAACTGCTGACAACTGCAATGGGAATTCCCCGATGATGTCGCGCCTGGAAACAAGCAGTACAGGTGAACCTTCAAACATGAACATGAGCAGTGGATCGTTGTCACTGGGCGAAGCCGATGACTCATTCTCCTCATTTAACCTGAGTCCGCGTCAGATGCCGTCACCCTACTCTCCGCCATTGTCGCCGGTTGCTGGTGTGGGTAGAGCACTGGATGATCGGCCTACATGGCGCTCGCCCACGAACGATACAGCGACTATGGACAATGACATGGCCAGCATTGGTACAGAGTCGAGTGATTCTGATGGCAGTCTGGACAATACCCAGTCAACCGTTGACCTTAGCGAAGGCGCCAGTGTGTCACCGAGTCCACCTGGCCACACGAACGGCGTTGAAACCAAGAATGAACCTGCTGATTCGAACAGTGGGGGCCCAGCGAATGTTGACGAGCAGCCCACTGTTGATTCTAGTACTAGTAACGAAACAGCGTCCACAGCTCCAATGGAACCTGCAGAAATCCTCAAGTCAGAACCTGTTGAAACGGCTTCAACGGAAAATGAATCATCGTCAACGGCTCAGGATGAGCAGCAAGAGGACACTAAAGAGCCTGTTCGGTGATGATCCAGTGTACCCTGTATTCCATGTTCCTGTGTACTGGGTATAGTATTCCAAATGTGCCAGTAGTGTCCTGTGTTTGTTCATGAAATCATCCATAAATTATGTCATACTGGTTCACCTCGGCGTGCCTCTCATCTCCATCCTAATCATTGCTATGACTTGACGAGATCAGTCCCACGCCATAGTTCAAGACATGCACTGAGAGCTTGTCGTCATTTTCTTTTTACCCTACCAGTACCGGTGCTGGTTTATACAATCTTGGAAGCCTAATAATATCCAGGATATCAGTTGCATGCACTACACTCTGTGCTTGCTATGCACTGTACATATCATGTCCAGACTTCCATTCCTGTTTACATGTACGGTACCGGTACTCGTTGCTGTTCCCGACGTGGTGTTGCTTGTAGAGGCGACTACAACGACAAGTGGCGCAACCGTGACCACAGCTCTCAATTATGACTTCCAGCATGCAGATCTGCATGCGCCATCTCTGTAATCAACATGAGACTGAAAGAACCGCCACGTTCTCGCAACCAATATTCTATTCTGTGTTCTCTGCTGTTTGAAGAACATTCTCGTCATCCTAGAACTAGGAACATAAAGCTTGATCTGCCTGAGAGATCTATCACAGGAACTGGTGCAGGAAAACATGAGGGCTCGAAAACAGAACATTTCGGCTACTTTACCATCTCCTTGTCTGTCCCTATTTAAAAATATGTAGGATTTCCTTCAATTCACTCACTGTTGTATGTTCGAATGTGTCTCAAGTGATTGGATGGTAATTTTCATCACAGATGTCTATGCGTTTGCACTTTTGTTCAGCTGATTCATTGTCCGTTGAAGCATGCACGTACAATGTAGGGAGAATTTCTTACTTCTAAAAAATACGAAGGGTGTACATGTAAAAAAAAAGAAAAAAAAGAAAATTATCGTATCCGTTCCCGAAGGGAACTCACGACGGCCGCTAACACCCGATAAACCCTAGCGGCAGATGCAGCGCCTAACGGTGGGGGTGAGTAGTACCAGTATTTTTTCACAATTATTATTTCAGAACCGCTCGCGTCATCACAGAACGGTTATGGTTATTATTCAGGGAGTCGTAAAATACCATTTTATATACGACTCCTTGTTATTATTATATTGCATATTGGAGGTTGGGACAATGCAGAATGGGAGGTGCCCCACAAAAATAATGATGTACGAGTACTTGACGAGTTCAAATCAGGGAGTCGTAAAATAGGTATTTTACGACTCCCTGGTTCAAATCAGAGTTGATGAGTCCAAATCAGAGAGCGTAGCCGTAGGCCTATCATAATTGAGCGGACAAGGTAGAAATGGAACGTTAACTGCAGTCTGGCAAAAACTGTTTTTTTGCATGAAGGTCACCTACAACTATCTGTTTTTCAGATCCCAAAATTTCAGGCTGATACTATGGTGGGAAGTGCCTTACATTCACCATTTTCTAGATGCCGGTCAGTATTTTAACGTCTATTTCGGGATGATTTAAACAGTCCACCCTGCAGTACAACCTAAACACTGAAAAAAAAAACCAATATCTTGGCCTGTATTTCTCCACAAGTGTATATCAGTGTGAAAGATGAGCTGATCACACACATGGACTCGTTTGAGGTGGAACCAAGCAACAAAACCACATAACTAGAAACAGCCGGAGCCGAAAAATCAGCTCCAGAGTAACTCGTGATGCAAGGCAAAATAATAGGATTGTTGAAGCTGGTACTCAATCCACACATCAAATACCACTACACACATGTCAAAAATAGAAGAATTTGGTGGACAAATGGTAATTCCAGTGCGTTCTTGCTTCAGCCATGTGTGCACGCTCTCATCGTATACTGTTGGCGACCTCGGAATCTGCTCTGATGCATTGAGGCTCCCGACGACTGAGCGGCGCACCTTGGTAATATAGTTAGTAACATTTTGGCAGGAGACAGACAGCTCTTGAACACACAGCATCGAAATAATATTCCGGAGAGGCACCACCAATACGGTGCCCATTGGCGAAGTCCACGAGTCCACAGACTTGAGAAACTGTACTTAACGTAACGTTACACATCAGTCCGCAATCCGAGGCCCGATTTGACTTCTTTCCACTCAGCTCATGTTCACCAGCCTTGACCATTCTGTGTATCTCAATTCTTAAAACACTGATTTCCAGACAGTGCACGTTGCAGGTCTGCCACTTGCATCCAATGTATTGGGCAACAGCTAGCTAGTTGTTCTGGGCTACCTGTATACCAGGTATACGTTCCCCTGGCTGTGGTGCACGACGCTATTGTTTCTTCAGCTCCTGCCATGTGTGCTTCAGAGCTCTGAAGTCGGTTCGGCGTATACATTCAGTACAACTCAGCATCCACAGGAACGTTCCTCTTCATTGGTGTTATCATCATTACTGCTGTCACCACGTTCGCCTGCATCTGAAAGATCCATCTCATTTGTTCCCTATGTCTTTTTGTACCGCGCTGAAGCTAGCAGCAAACAAAACGCTGATCGCCCCGTCGTTTTCGGCGTAGTGGAAGACGCTCTCGACTACTACCTGACTCAGAAACGCTCTCAGAATCAGAGAAGCTCTCAGCACCTGACAGCAGGCTATCAGCTGATCGCCGTCACCTCCAAATTCGCCCGTCAATACGCCACCCGTCGCACAACTAGCTGCCATATGATGGCATATCTTCCTTCAGCCATAACGGATTCACTTCAAATTTTGAGTGCTGAACCTTGAAGCCCTGTGCTGAGCGAGGCACAAGCGCTTGATGCAAATAGAGCCCTCTAACCCAGGTAAAAAATATGCCACAGTTTGCCATACTTCAAACGCCTGTATCTCAAAATGATGTCATGCAGCTAACGTTCCATTTCTACCTTGTCCGCTCACATATACTGATATAGGCGAAGTAGTCTGTACTGTAGCTGTAGTGATCAGGTGATCCAGTCTACAAATCTACGGGCATGCGCGTGCGATCAAGCTCGGTGCATGCACTGCATGCAGACTGTACTGCAGGACCGGTAAAAAGCTCGTTCTAAAACAAAGTGTCGCGTGCTGACGCTACGGGCGGTCGGCCTCGCGGCTTCAGCGTATGCATGGCATGCGCACGTACAAAGCTGTCACGTCAAGTCGCCGCGCCGACATCATGTGCATGTGGCATGTACGAGAGCTCGTACACGCCGTAAAGCCAGTGCAGTATAGTACTGCATGCAGTGCCACTGCCATGCCAGTACGATCGTAGTCAGTACCAACGGGAGTGGCTTGCCCAAGCAAAAAAATGTGAACAGGCTTCACTCGATCGAGTTGGCAACCAACAGCAACCAGTCGCAATGTCGGTTGTTCGCTACGATGTCCCAGGTTGCGGACTCAGCCAAGATTCCGCCGTGTAAGAATGGCTTGCCTTGGCTCTGACTTCTTTGATTTCAACCGTTTGGAAGAGCCACTGAACGTGCCATGCCTGTAGTTGGTGGGTTTCTTTCGTAACTTTTGGACTGGAGATAATTATCTAGATAATTTTATCATAATCGAGACCAGCTTCTGTACATTTGATTTGCTGATTTCGGAGAATACGCACGTGGCACTGAGGAAGTGGACTTCAGGCAAATATGGATCCTGTGGACATAGGTACTGAGCTGCGCAAGATGAGCAGCATGGGAGAGGAAACAGCAGCGTTGCCACATCCAGAATCGCCGGTGAAAACAGTTGCTGACTTGCCCAGCCATCACTGTGAGGAATCTGATTTCCAATCCCATCACCGTGATCATATATCTTACCATGAGCCGATGCAGCGGCCACACCACCACCACCACCATCATCATCACAGGCACCACCACTCGCACCGCAAACATCACCAGCACCGTGAGTCTCTGCAGGTTCAGTCGAGAACGCGAGAGATGTCCATATCGACACAGGCGACAGGTATCCTCGGCACCTTGTCGATGGAAAATGTCACAGAGGAAACACCGGCCGATGCTGAATCCATGCGCAGTACGTCATTTACGGTAGATAGTGGACGGAAGGAAGATGGGGCAGCGGCGATGATCTCTCCCCGAAAAATGCCACCACCATCTCCAAGTAAAGTGGTCTTATCACGTCCACAGTTACCAACTGGTTCGGGTAGTGGGCCACAGATACCAACTGCTGCTGACGGCACAGCTTCTCCCCGACCGACCGACTTGGGGTTTGGCCCCAAGCCCAATGAAACGCGTAAAGAGCGCCATCATCGCAGGAGACACGAGGAAAAAGACAGGAAGCTTGCGTCCGGCAGCCACGATGGCCATGAAGGCTCGGACTCACCTGGTCATCGCAAGCATCACCACCATCATCATCATCGCCGACATCACCATCATCACCATCGGCGGTCTGTAGCGGCGACGCATGGCATGCCAACAGAACTGGAGGAAGCGCTCGCCCTGCCGGGCCGAGATCTTGATGATATGGCCGCTCACCGGTGGGACGCGCCAAGGAAGCAGTCGCTGATTGACCGGCGCATCAACGATGCCACCACTGCTGCCGGTCCGGTGGTACCTGTTGCACAACATGTGAAAGAAATCGATCATCGGCCACATGACATGTTTGTTGAGCTGGAAGAGCTGCAATATGGCGAGGGCGATAAGCTGCAATGGCGTGAGACTGCTCGTTGGATAAAGTATGAAGAAGATGTTGTTGAAGAAGCCGATCGCTGGGGTAAGCCTCACGTTGCCTCGCTAAGCTTTCACTCGCTTCTGCAGCTGCGCACGTGCATCGAGCATGGTACGGTTCTCTTGGATCTTGAGTGCGATGATTTGCCAAGCATTGCTGGCGCTGTTGTGGACAATATGATTGCGACGGATCAGCTACCGGCTCAGCTACGAGAGCCCATCCTGCAGGCACTGCTGTTGCGTCATGTTCACCAAAGTGATCCACACTCGACGCGTGAAGAGGCACCAGCATCGCAGACGGCCCACGCTACCCAATCCCTGCCAATGGTCTATGATGCCGAGTCGGGCCTGGGCACGCCGACAGCCAAGCTGAAGCAGTACGGGAAACTCCGGGAAAGCGCAGACTCTGTGATTGCCACCGCCACTAGCACGGACATGCCAGGCGTGCGGCGCTCGTCCACGCACATGTCACGCCAACTATCTCAGCAGTTCTCTCAGAGCTACTCTCTGGTCTCTGCTAACAGTTCCGCTTCTGCCCAGCAATCTGGCTTCTTGAAAGAGGAGCCTGAAGCGTATCATGATCCACACTTGCACGAGGACAGCGGTAACGAGCCACAGCATGATCCGGTCACAGCCAGTTTCATGCCTCCTGACCCTGCTGCTGCTGCTGGCGGCAGCGGAGTGCAACGACTAGATTCCGTGAAGGAGTCCAACGCACCGGGGACGTTCACGCCACCGCGGAGGAACAGCTTCTCAATGGCCGTTGGTGGCAGTGAAGACCTGGGTGTGCGTGACCTGAACACTTTGCTGGAGCAAACCCTGGAAGCCAAAATGGCGGTGGAGGAGGAAGACAACCAGCCACTGCCCAAAGAAGAGCGTGAACTTCTGGAGCACTTGGCGCCGGACGTGGAAGCCACCACTGTCCTGGTGGGTGCGCTGGACTTCCTCACCCGTCCTACCATTGCGCTTGTGCGTTTGTCCGAGGGCCGGCGTCTAGGTCACATCACTGAAATTCCTATTCCTGTCCGCTTTCTGTTCGTTCTGCTGGGCCCGCCGAATTACGATTTCGGCGGCCTGGGCTCCACATCTTATCATGAAATCGGCCGAGGCATTGCCACGCTGATGGCCGACAAGGAAGTCCTGGAGGATATCTACGCTGCTGAGCACCGCTCTGATATCTTGCACACGTTTGATCTGTTCCTGGATGATAGCATGGTTCTACCTCCGGGTCGCTGGGAAGACAAGGACAAGCTGGACCTCCACCACCACGCGCTGCAGCAGCGCTCCCGTTCTCGCCGTCTTCGAAAGCAAGACCTTCCAGCAACCCCGCCGTCTGGCGGCGGCGACGACGATGACGACCCGCTTGCCCGCACCGGTGTATTCTGCGGCGGCATGATCAAGGACCTGCGGCGGTTGCGTCGCCGCTACATCAGCGACTTCAAAGATGCGCTGTCGCGGCAAGTCTTCTTCACAGCACTGTTCATGTACTTCGCTGCCCTCGCTCCTGTCATCACCTTCGGTGGGCTGCTCGAAAAGACCACAGAGAGCAACATTGGCCTGAGTGAGATGCTGGTGGGTACATCCATTGGTGGTATGGTGTTTTCCTTGCTCGCCGGCCAACCGTTGATGCTGATCGGCCCCACTGGTCCACTGCTGGTCTTTGAAAAGCTGATCTACAACTTCTGCAAGGCCAACGACTGGCCGTTCATGCAGTTCCGCTTCTGGACGGGCATGTGGGTTTTCGTCATATTGTTCGTGGTAGTTGCGACCGACGCTAGCCTGCTGGCTAAGAAGTTCACTCGGTTCACGGAAGAAGTGTTTGCATTCCTCATCGGCTTCATCTTCATCTATGAAGCGCTGAAGAGTGTGTATGATTCCTTCCAGGCAAACCCGCTCAACTTTGAGTACTGCACATCAGAGCACTGCTCCGTCGTCAATAGCAACGCAAGCTTTGTGAATGGCACCGGTCCGACGTCGCTGTACACCAGTAGTGATAGCTGGTCAAACAGTTCACAGGATGCACTGCAGTGCAGCCGCAGTGCGGCGTTCGAGATGCAGCTTAAGGCTGGTGGAGCGCCGAAGAACTTGCCCAACACAGCCCTGGCCAACATGCTGATTGTGTTTCTCACGTTTGCCTTGTCGTTTTTCTTCCGCTTCCTTCGGCACTCAAAGTACTTGAGCAAGGGGATCAGGCGTACGGCCAGTGATTTTGGCGTTGTCATCACCATCATTACCGCCGATATTATTGCTCATTTTGGTCTTGGCGTAGAACTGGAGTTTGTCAAGCAGCCGTCGTTTGGCACTACACTGAGCCGCTCCATACTGGTGGATCCACTCGCCAATAACATGTCTGTTGCGCTTGTGTTTGGAACAATGATTCCTGCCTTTTTGGTGGCGTTTCTGGTCTTTGTGGAAACGCAAGTCACTTGTCTGATTGTCACCAGTCCTGATCATAAGCTGGTGAAAGGCCAAGGTTTCCACTGGAATCTGTTCATAGTGTCTGTCCTGATAGCTATTTCGTCGGCTCTCGGTCTGCCGTGGCTGTGTGGGACGCCGGTTCCATCGTTGTCGCACACCACTAGTCTTCTAGTGTACGAGAAGACACGTGCGCCCGGTGAGCGGCCCAAGATAGCCGGAGCTGTTGAACAGCGTGTTTCTAACTTTGCCATCCACGCTCTGCTGCTGATCACCTTAGTGCCGGCCGTCACCAGCCTCTTGAGTGAAGTTCCCGTTAGCGTTCTCTTTGGCGTCTTCCTCTACCTCGGCGTGGTGTCGCTGCTGGGATTGCAGTTCGCGCACCGGCTCGTTCTGTTGATCGTGCCACCCAAGCACCACCCGGACGACGTGGCTTATGTGCGCCTGGTGCGCCTGCGTCAGATGCGCATCTACACGGTCATCCAGCTGCTGTGCCTGGGCGTTCTGATTGCAGTGAAGCAGACCGCGGCCTCGCCGGCGTTCCCGCTGATCATTCTGCTGATGGTGCCGCTGCGTAACAAAGTGGTGACACGCTTCTTCAGTGAGCGCGAGCTGGAGGCACTGGACCCGCATGAAACTAGTAGTGTTGATTACGACGCAGAGAGCTTTGATGAATACGAAGCTACTCATTTGGCTGTGTAGAGTAATGCTGTCGCTATTTTGAAGTACTTTCCCCGTCCCCCCCCCCCCCCCCCCCCCCCCCCATGACTTCTTATGACGTTGATGCGCATATTTGATGATTGGATAATGGTGCCGCCGGTCGTATCCAATCCAATTCTGTTGCCTTTTAATTTTATTTTAGGACTGCGCCTTTTTTTATTGCTCTTCAACATCTTTGTTGTGCTGCTCATTTCTGCACTGTGTGAATTAAATAGGGATTTAATCGAAGGGGAACACCGCACCGCGTGTTAACTAACTTGTATGAATTCGATTTTGATATTTCTCTTTTTTTTGTGTTTTTTTCAACATACTATTTTACTATCTACTATTTTTATAATTACCCTGACCCAAAAAAGTCTTCACTCGTTTCGATGAGCCGTGAAATGGATTAAATTTTTTTTTTAAATATATCTATTAGTAAAGCATAGGCACCAGTGTTCATTTGTTTCAGTAGCCCCGGTGGAGTTCGGGAGTTCCTAGACAGATAATAACGACCTCGTCCGATCCTACATTCACGTCTTCATGACATCTTTCTTCTTCTGTGTTCTGCCCATGTTTGGATAGGTGTAGCTCAGGGAGTCGTCGAATACGATATTTGGCGACTCCCTGGTGTAGCTCACTGGTTGTGCCGAAGTGGCTCCTGACAAGTCGGGTGCGTGTACATGTCTTCAATACGTGTGCTGTGTGGCTTTGTCAACCAATATCAACTGTAGGGACCCGTGACCGGTGCTGTGGTACATTTGACATAGAGTGGCTGGTTGCTGCATGTCTATTTCAGCTGCGGTTGCACCCCGCATGGCTAGCTGTGTACCAGTGTGGCAGTGTCTGGGTTTACCAGCTTTCGGCGTATTTGCCCGCTACTACACTGTACTGGTATTTGGCTTCATCTTGTATTCGGTGGCATGCGACAGATCACTCATCCGGGATGTTGTTCACGATTACCTTGAAGTTGAACATTGTGTTGAGAAGTACAGTCAACTTTGCGTATAACAACACTTGGCGGGGCATCAGAAAAAGTGTCGTTATTCGCGAAGTGTCCTTATACCCGAAGTCTCATTTTTTATGTATTTCAGTTAGATGGGACTTTGCTCTGGGCATGGAAATTCTGTCGTTATTCGCAAATTGTCGTTATATCCGCAGTCGTTATTAGCGAAGTTGACTGTAGTATCAAGAGGCCATAGCCGGGGAGGGGGGCACGAGTCAAATCGGGAGGTATATTATGTATCAGATTGCAACGACCAGGAGGCTCTAAGTAGTGGCTGCAAATGACCGATATCCGTCACTTGCAGCTGTCCATCAGAGACCTGTAGCTGGCCTGAAGAGTTGTAAAATTACTCCTTCGTAGCCGGGCGAGTCCGAGCGAGGGCGATTCACGGCTTGGTCAAAAAACTGTCGGCCTGGAACGTCAACGTCGATCTGCCGACACAGTTCACCTGGTTCACACGCCTGACCTGGCATGCTGCCTTGCGTGAAAGGAACATTTTTCCGAAAGCAAGCTTCTTCTCCAAAATTCGAAATTTCCTTCCAAAAATGCCGTCGTCCTTGACCTCGAAGCTGAATGTTGTTAGGATAGAAAATTAGCGAAGATGTAGCCGACCCATTCTGGCAAGCTGTGTGCCCTCTGGATATGCAGTTGTTCGCCATGGTCAACAATCTTCTTCTCCTTCGTTCGTACTTTCACTTTCCTGACCACGAATACAAGCGGTACCCATGCTCAGGTTAGTGTTTATTTGTCTCTCTATGCACATACATGTAATACAATGTACTGTTCGTGCTGCAGGCACTGGCCGATCATGGGAATAGAGGAAGCAGCCAGCTTTTTCTTTGAATTCTCGTGCTTTCAACAAAAATATGTACACACTTTCCTTGGCTCCTCTTTCCCACCGCCACCATGCATGCACTGCTTTTCAAATTTGTGTTTGCTTTGGCAGTGGTTTCATGGGTATCCTTCAGCCTTCCCTGGCATTCAAAATTCAGAATAGTTTCTACCCAGGTGCTAGTGCCTCTGTTCTGCTTAGTACATTGTAGTCAAATTATTTGCAACTGTCCACCCCTCCACACTGCACTCTTGGCTCACATTCACCACACCATAGCGAAGAAGTTTGTTCTTGGATAGATGTCTGAAGGATGTAGAGCATCTATCCAAGAACGAACTTCCTCGGTATGGTGTGGTAAATGTGGGCCAAGAGCGCAGTGAGGAGAAGTGGACAGTTTCAAATTATTTAGCCACATCCGATCCTTTCTCCGATAATTATGGACATTTTTTACAATATAGCCACTCATGCTTCTATTGAGAGGTAACACCACTCAGGAAACTGAGGAAAGCCAACCGGCGTTGCACAGGATTTGAGGTTGGGAAGAAAAGATGTTCCGATAAAAGAACTGCGAGTACATGGGAAACGTGTTATGGAAAGGGCAGTCTGAGTCGAACTAGGATCTCCTGTTCCAGACTGTACCGAAAGCGTGAATATGAATACAGTAGAATGCCAATAATCCGAACAATCACTTATCCGAAATGCCAGTTTCCATTGAATTGAAGGGACGAAAATTAGCTTCTGCTCATTTTCCCCAACCCCAAGCACCATTCAAGCGGTGCACAAGATGGTCTGCAACAGGTTGGAGCAACAATGTATCACCGTAGAGTCATATTGAGGAGCTAGATTGTGTCTAGTTCCTGTGAAGAGAATGTGAGAAATGATGGAAACGTGAAGTAATGTGCAAGTCTTAGATGGATGTGTGACTGCTCCCTTATCCGAATTTTTCCCCATCCGAACCCCCTGGAGAAAGCGTGCGCCCGAGGGGTGCGGATAATCTATTTACACTCTGCTGTAACACTTATGCACAATGCATGCCGATGCACATTGGACAACGTTGCAAATGTAGAATTGTAGGTGGAATGTGGTTCACATTAGACAATCGGAGTACCCCCACCAAACGAAGAGTGCTCAACATCACAAGGTAGAGCTGGCATGTACTATCGAAAAAGAGTACATATACCATTAGCTGATGTTGTTAGTGTGCGTTACGAAGTCTGAAGAAAATGTTGAACGATCTCGGCTGGGATGACGGCTACTCCTTAGCTCAGTGATTAGAGCATCGCTGGCCTCAAGCGAAGGTCCCTGGTTCGAATCCTGGTGGTGACAGTCATTTTTTTCTTCAGACCTTTCTCGTTTGTGCCTTTCCCTCGAACCAGTGAATATTACTGTTAGCTTCGTACTTTGAGTGATTATCACTTACAGTTACATATACTTGATAATTTCTTAGCGCATGAAAATCGGAGTCAGTACCACAATTTTCCTCCCTCACCATATGAGTCTAGATACGCTTTGAATGTGGAATAGGGTCCAGGACAGGATCGTCTGCTCTATCCGAATTATGGCCTGGTTGCAATTTGTCTATTTCCCAGCAGGTACATCGCACCAGGGAGTCATAGCACCTACACTTTAGGGAGACTACACAATACTTTATAGAATTTTGGGTCAGGATTTAGAGGTTCTCCGTGATCTGTGCAACCCGCGATCACGGCCTTGACCTACTGACCCTGAGAACGGCCCAGATTAGCAATGCCATGTACGAGCGGGTATAGATCTGCCCAATGGTGCCCCAAGGGTGGCTGAAACAGGAACCCCTGGGTCGAATCCCATGTCATTTAGCTTTACAGTCGCCTGTGCCGTCTACCTAGATGCTACAGCTCCCTGCGTTGCACGCAGTAAATGCAGCGCATCAAGTATACAGCCATGTAGTGTTGGTTGTCACCTGTTCTGATCGTGTGATATCACAAACAATCTTCTACGGTCCATTCATTCAAACCTGGCACGTTAGGGGCCGTCCATAATTATCTATCTTTAACAGATTGAGTATCTTTGAAACGAGAAAAAAAATCGTTCATGGGCGGGTGGGTCAAGAAGGGTTTCGTAATGAAAAATATTGATAGCTGAAACACTAGTCCATTCCAGCTATTTTTCGTTGAGGGGTGAGTAGGTGGGGGTGGGGGACGGTCACAAGTTACTCATAACTAAGCTTTTCATTTCGTGAAAATTATGGATAATGCCGGGTCCATAATTGTCGATCTTTTACACGAAGAGAAAAAGTTTCGTTTGTGGGTGGGTCAAGGGGAGTTTCGTTTCGAAAAAACATTGATATTGCAGACATCAATCAGGGGGGGGGGTTGGTGGGTGGTTGGAGGAGGGTCCTTCTTTCATTTCCTGAAAATTATCGATAATGCTGGATAGCTCCTTAGTCTATGCAATAAAATAGTTGTTTTCTTCACACAGTACCGTAAAGTTTAAACAATATCCGGCCAGGTTTGTACCGAACATTTTTTCGAAAGGTAATTTCTCAAATGTTGCCTTGAGTACGTTCTCAGCAACATCGCGGGCCAGTTTCAAATAATTGGACTGCAAACTTGCATCGCTGGTTGTTGCAGCTCCATCACAGGTCGTATCACGGGAAATTGAGTCCAGCTCCACTTCTAGGTTCGGTAAGACGTGATGGGCATCACTTCCTGCATGCTGGTGCATGTGACTCAAGAGCTCTGGCTGGCAACCAGTTTTAGACTGCAGGTGCAATGCAAGATTTTCTGCGCTGTGCTATGCATTGTGCATTGCATTTCTCGAGAGACACTTCACGCTATGTGAAAAAAAATTCGCTCAATGTGGTATTGTGCATCGTGCAGTGCAACTTTCCCACAAAACTGGACTCAAAGCATCTTATAGCTGTGGTTTACAGCAAAGATTTTCCTATTTGCGACTCTTGGTTTAATGGGCGCAGTAGCATGCATGTGCCTGGTGATATTGTTGCAATGGATCATAGTGAGGGCGTAGCAGTACTTGTGCACTGATAGTTGGTAATGGCATGAGTACATAACCAAGAGTGGGCAACTCGATGATCCCACTACCCACGGCAAGAAGTTTCATCACTTCGGTTCTTGTGGGCCATTGGGCTCACTAATACCATCATGCGTAGCCAGAGATCAAAACTTGTACATCACAGCTACGGTAGTTGAAGCAGAACAATGAACTGTGGATCCATGCCTACTGAACCTGATAAAACACTCTATCTACATGGCACATGTAGAAATATATGCGCTTTGCTCATAATCATTTGATTTCGAAGCCGATCGTACCTTATGTTAGTAGTTGCACATTCTTAGCAGTTATGTAGTTTGATAATAACGTTACGATAGATTATCAATGCTGGTGGAAAGGTGGAAACGTTATGCTGGTTGCATGATTTTGTACCCGGTGTGCCATGACCAGGCATGCTAATTCATAGGATATTAGCAAGTTTGCCTGCCTGCTGGGTGTTGTATCTTAGCTTCACTGTACTACAAATATGATAGGCTTACTTTTCCTAATTTGCTTCTTTATAACATTCAGTTTGTTTTGCTGCAATCTTTTCACGTGTTTTGCAGGATTGTAGCCAAGGGTGAATGCCATTATCATGAGCGAAGGTCTCTGAGAACCCATGTCTGAAAGCTGGTCATGTTGGCCCAACGATGACTTTCATTGCCTGTATCCGCCACCT